TACCTCCAAATTTACAATACAAATTGATCGCATTAGTTGAGAATCCAACTCACATACCCAATTATCGCAATGGAGCTTTCCAAATAGAGTAACTTGCTATGGCTACCAGAAAGCTAGAAATAACCAGCAAATAGCATGAAACACAATGAAGACATCATTTTTCATTGGTTGTCAGGGATAATATATGAATAAACGAAACTGGACATAAATATCGCCGAAATTTAAGAACATTTTGACAAAGATTATATACAAAATTTACTTGACTATGTTTTTCTAGTATCTTATTTGTATGATATTGGACCTGACCTTGAAACTGCAAATCTAGGCAAGGGACTAGGACCCGTGCTGCTTGATGTTGAGCCTTCAACAAATTTTGTCTTACGACTCAAGCTATAATCCAAGGGCCCAGATCGCCTAACATTGCGATGTTTGTTGTCTGTACTCATGCTACCATTTTCAGTATCATACTGATCTTGGCCATGAGTAAAATCTCCATGCGGCTGCTTCAATGCAGGAGAAGCATGTGCTAGTGATGTGGCAGGGGAGTGTCGGGGGGATGAACTCAATAATGCCAGTGGAGTTGAAGAATTCGAATAGTACTGACTGTATACTGAACGAAGGATGGCATAAGGTACATGAGATTCCAGTAAGCTTCTCGGTAGGTATGGCGAGAGCTCACATAATTGATCGAGGAAGATCAGCTTTGCAACCAAATGAGACCTGTGCAAATGAATAAAACTAAAAACTTTCAAAAAGTACGCATGACACAAACAAAATGTTATCGATTTTCCAAATGTCATCTCGTGATTTTTTTATTTTTTTTTAATTTAACAGCACAAGTAATGTACATGCAAACGCACAAGCATGGAAATGATTCTCGATCAGTTGATAAAAGTTTCAGCCAAATAATACTAGCTCAAATACTCGGCAGTTGAAATAAGATGCAGTAGGCATAAAAAGGAGAATTATCATCTTACCAGAAGATGTTAATTGCCAGTAAATATAGCATTTAACTAAGATACCTTAAGCTTCAACCAAATATTATTGTCTTACCTATTGCTTTCATTCCAAGAATCCAAAATGATTCCGGCAGAGCACTTGATGAATAGCTGCATTGTGGACTTTATGCTAGCTTCTGCTGAAAAATGATTCTCTGTCTCAGGGTCAAAGGTTTCGGTGACGTGGCCATTAGAGAGAGTGTGTTTCTGTTGATACTCTCTTTCAATTCTGACGAATCCACTACCTGCAATCACTGAACAAATGCACCTGACAAAAGAAAATTCGTTATGGAAGATCGTAATCAACCAGCATATTTTCAGTGTCAAAGCTTCGTACACTGACTATATCTGATAGATAAACTGCCCAAAGACTAACAACCACATGGATCCTAGACCAACACTTATGACTTGAAAAGAACTAAGATGATTATAGTAAACGTGTTTTCCTTTTCCAGAATATAAAAATTGAAACAATGATGGTAGGTCAATAAAAATAACTAGAGGATGATGCTCCTGTTTGAGTGAGGCTGTAAAAAGAGACAATTTACACGTGGTGTGGAAAGCTTTATGACATATTCCAACACTAATGAAGATAGATAATTAACCTAATAACCCCACAAGCAAGCTAATTGTTTAGCTAGATGTAATCATAAAGATTCAAATAGGACTACATGAGGCAACTTCAAAAGCAAAGAGCAGTAAACAGAGAGGAAAATTAAGCACTTCGTGTGTCTAATTATTTTTTATCTCTCATACTAAAACTCAAATATTCATACTTTGCCAAGCAGTGGATATTGTTGCTGAATCCTCCAGTGTCAACATTGAAGGCAGTAGTGTTCCAGATGGTAGATGTCATAAATGTCGCGAATAAATATGGCAACAAGTTCCATGAACCGTCACTTGCACCCCCCACTTCTTCCAATATTAATCGAACCCACTCAGAATCATGGTCTCCAACTAAATTAACACCGTTTGCCACTCTTCTCATCCTCCGAATCTCTTTCTTCTGAGGCATTTCATTAGGTAAATGTTTAGCAATGCCTGCTAGCAGTGAATGGACCAAAGGTGCACCTTCTTCAAGCACAGAACCAGCAGCCTCTGCTAAAAGGGAATCAAAAGCGATTGCCTGTCCTGCCTGAATACAAAACCCAACAATTGTGTCCATATCAACAATCTGCTTAATATTTGCTTCTGTTTCTGTTCTGTCACCAGAATGCATGCTTCCAGCAACTGCCTCCAAATTCTCACGATTTGCCCGCAACGAGGTGTCAATACAATTTAGGAGTGCAGCTGTGTGCTCTCTCAGCATTCTGTCCAGCCTGTCAACTCCATAGGTACCAAAAATACGAACAAAGGCTTTCAATTCCCTAAGATCAGTCACTGACTGGGCAAAATACCCGCCAACGGGTCTAGTGCTCTTAAAGCAACTGTGCAATGGTGCAAAGAGGATACCAGCACCAGAGACATCCTTGATAATGTTTTCAACATACCAGTTGCACACGGCTTCAGTAGCTGATCCAGTGTGCTGTTCTGCTGGTTTCTCAAACAAGTGTAAAGAAGACACTGGCCCACAGAAGGTCTCTGTAAGTAAAATTTCCCGAATACCCTGGGTCAGGTCCATGCTGATGTGTTGCTCGGCTAGATGGACAATAGCAGTATGTCTGCGAATAAGTGATACTAGCACAGAAGGCCGTTGAAGATCATTATCAGTTTTCAGAACAGTGAGCAACCTCCTCTTGAAGTTCCCAAGGATGCAGTCCCTCATGTACTAAATCACAGTAAACAAGAGTTTAGTGGAATATCAATAGTTTGCCACTAGCTACCACTAGTAAAGATTGCCTTGCGAACCTTTGCCATGTGAAAGATGGCCTAAGATCAGCCTTTACATGAAAATAAGAAATATTTTTCCATTCGATCAAATCCACTGTTCATCAGGTTTTTTTTTTATAATTTATTATTTTTAACTCTTTTTATCAGTGGCATTCTAATCCCAGTGTCTACATTCCATAAGTGGCATGAAGAGATGACAGTCATTTACCTCCCTCAGTACGAAGACATGGTTAAGAACACAGATAGGTTCCATGTCGTTCATGATTGAGCAAAGATTTGTCAACCTCTGCATTGCAGCTTCTAACCTGTCATCAAGTTAGAAAACCAGATCAATATTCATACATTGAGAAATTAAATTTCAAGTACTTGTATTTTACAGTGCAAAACCAAATTGCATAATTAGTTGAGAATGACTTACATTTTGATAGAATTATCATTTTCAGGATAGCTCTCATAGCCTGGTAACTGAAAACCGTATGCCACTTTTGGGGATCTTGCTGAAGGAACAGATATTCTGGATGTCAAGTTCATGAGATTTGCTGCTTGCTCAGGGAGGAGCTGAAATTTCATAAAATTAGTTAAAAGAGTATAAAACAGACTTAATTAGATCCTAATCTCAATAGAATGAGAAAGAATACCAACCTGCGTTTCCAGAGAGCCAAATCCTCCTTCCGAGTCAAGAATATTAATTAACCCTTCCAGTCCTCCCATGATGGATTCAACAAGGGATTCAACATATAGAACTGCATCGCGACCAATTTTAGTCACCTGTGTCGTAAAGAAGTTGAAGTTATTCCATAGGCCAATAGACCATGGTTCTATTGCAGGTAAAATGTTGAAGATAATGTCTAATAAATTACTGAATCAGCACTCAACAAAAATTAACATTCACTAAGCTATGGTCAAAGAAATTATTCAGTCTTGGAGTTCACTGCAGGTGATCTTATGAGTGAGAAGCTGCTGAAAATGAAAGGTTATCGTCGCTTACAGGTTTGAGCGAAGGGTGTTGGACTTCGTTAAAAGGCAAGAAGAAAAAGGTTGTTTAATGACACCTGTACAATAATCGGACGACTGAAAAGTAAATGGGAGCATTTGTTTCTGATTTAGGGATGACATAATCAAAGGGAAAGTCTGCTGTGAATGGAAAAATAGTGGCAAAGGTAACATGTTTGGTAATCGAGTTTCAAGTTCTCAGGCCAAGGATGAAGTGTCAAAATTTAAGGAATAAAGTATATTCTGCTCAAACAGAATTCTCTCGGGACATGCATTTTTCCTCCCATTTTCAGCCTATTGTATGGGTTCTGTAGGGAGTGCTAGAATGTAAAATATTTCCCCGTAAAATATTCAGTTATGAGGAACATCAATACATGATTTACAGAACATGGCATTAGCATTTGCAAGTGACTCAGCTTTACAGGGCAAGGTGGGAACATTGGAGTAATTAGTTTGAAATCAGTAATCAATTACCTCTTCTGGAACAACTGACGAAGCGCATTCAGGAAAACTGCTAGCAACACCAAGCCATGCACAACAATGTTGGGGACGACCTTCAGGCCCAAACATGGTGTTCCGAAAAACCTATATTGCCCTTTCAAATTAAGAGTCAAAGAACATATGTGATAATTGAAGATTATGGCATCCTAACTTACAGTTGTAAGCTGCTGGTGATAGAAGTAAAGTTTCTTCAGACTCCCATATTTTGACAACTGATTTTCAAGTTCATCTACACATCTGCCTCAATACAAAACTCATTAGTTACAGTGATGAACAAAGTCTAGCCCATTTGAGAGTAGAATAACTTTTGGAACCTAAATCTTCAGAAAATTGCTGAGACAGCAAAGAAAATTGTGACACAACTATCAAGTAACACATCAATCAAGACTGTTACTGAGTAATGCATTATAATTAGCAGAGATGATTAAGATGAGAAATGCATGGCTATCAGTAAATACATCCCTGTCGAAGTAAGGCATAAACTAGAACTTCTTTCGGGTTTCTGATTGTAAAGAACATACGCTTATTTATCCAATACGGCGGTTAACCAACAAAATTTCTATAAAATGCCGAAAATTGGGAGATTGGTCCCGTGATTTAAAATGTCCTCTCCATAGGACTAAGAACGGATGCTTCTATAGTACTAAGAACGGATGCCATCAGAAACATGTTAAACAATCAATAACATGTCCACTAGCTAAGTGAAGTTGACAGGTGCACACAGAATCAGATAATAACTGACAAGGTTCAATACTGGAATTTCATAAACAAGATTTTGCAAACATTGGATCCATCTTGATCTGAAGATGAAGAACAAGCACCAGTTTATAGAAACAATTTCACATCCATAACAAACTCGGAAAACGAAGTCAATAAAGAAATTATGAGTAATGTCATGCGAAGATAACAGAGCAAGAAAATTAAGCCTGGTCGCAGTAAGAACACCTGGACCAGTTGTATGCAGCATTTCCTTCAGATAGTAAGCCTTCTTTTCCAGTAGATACTGTAGCCTTTTCCAAATGTCTAATGTTAATAGATGACCGAGAAGAAGTCACGATCATCAACACTGATAACCAATCCTTCCGTAACTCCTGAAAGTTATAAACATGACTCACGGTTGAAAATTTTGATGATAAACACCCAACAGCAGAAAAACTGCAAAAGGGGAAAGGGGGATGGTTGGGTGCGGGGGTGGATTAAATACATCAAGACAAAATAATAATAATAATAATAATAATAATAATAATAATAATAATAAAAATAAAAAATAAATAAATAAATAACATTCCTTTAATACATTAAGCAGCATGTTGGAAGGACAACTAAAGTTTAAAATATACTACTCAGTATCTCCAGCATGCAGACCATAACAAAGGAAAAACCTTCAAAATTTGACAATCAACTTGAGTGAATATCAATGGGGCTAGCAAAAATAGAAGAATACAACTTCGGGCACCAACAGAAAATTACATGTTATATCATGAGACTCCAACAAGTTTCGCTTACAGTATTGTGTATTACCTCTACATCATGATCCAAATGCCATTTTGAGAAAAGGCCCAGTTTGCCAAGAAGCAATAAAAAACAGCAAAAACATAATAACCATAGAAATAAATCTTACTGAACGTGATAACTTCATGTTGCTTTATCTATGAATTAACGATAGCAAAAAATGACAGTACATGCAGTTTCACATTATTTGATATAATATTTAGGAGACATTCTAGCATACTAGACAATTTATTCCATTTCATTTATTTTAACATGCGTATTGAATAATTTTGGCAACTATGTCATTTCTTCATTAGCAGTGTAAAACACAAGCTAAGCTTCAGTCTAGTTTTCTTGATTCAGATAAGAATATTCCATGTAACAATGCATGGAAAAGGAAACTAAGAAGCGACCATCTGATAAATTCTTACAGATAAATCACACGTGATGACAGAAATATTTTCACCCTGGGGCTTCGGTATATTTTCTAGATGCTGAACAATTCTCTTGAAAAGCCCTTTCAAGGTTGCATCCAGGTCAAGAGCTACCATTCCCGGTGTACCCAGCAGAAAGCGGATTCTACCAGCACATGACGATAGGTATGATAAAGCGTAACCTCTAATTGCTGAGGAGAAAATGGAAATATTTGCTAATTAGTGTACCACAAACTGAAAAATAAACAGAGCAATTCAACGTATGTTCATTTATTGTATGGAGAAATATATTAAGTTCACAACATCATCTCTTGGGAATTAATACTGTGCAGTATATCATGGCACATCCCCTACAGAAACTTCAGTGAAATTTGCCATCAATTGTACAATTACTTCATTCATAGATTACAAGCTTTAGCATAATGAACTAACAATTCACTAGTTAGTGGACCTGTCAATGAACAATTCAGGAAACCAATATGTAACTAGTGGTAATTAAATAAAAACAAGAACAAGAAAAAGGATAAGTGTAATATGATATATATTATTATTATTATTATTTTGGCTTTAGTAAGGGTTTCTGACCTGCAATGTACTTCCGCACTAGACAACAAAGATGGTCCATTCCATCCAATAAGAACCCAATAGTAGGATCATTTGCATCCTGCATCCATGAACCAAACATCAAAAAGGGTTGCATTTTGATGTGATAAGCTCTGTAACTAAGAGATATAATACATATTACAAAGTTGTATTCCACTAACCCACTTAAAATATGTAATTTCCTTACAATTTCTACTGGAACAACTCGGGCTGCTTTTGATTTTGATGAAGCTATTCCAAGGTGCTGGAAATACCACAACACCTCACTCTGAGCAAAGGCCAAGGCTGAAAATACCATCTGCAGAAACACCAAAGAGGATTAAAGTTACCAATCTCTATATAATCATAAGCAAACCATGGAGGTAGATCAACCGTAATTGAATTTTGTCACTCTTAACATAAATTGGTATCCAACAAGAGACAGGGAACACCATTTCCTTGCTTGTCTCTCTCTTCTAAATGCTCGCTCATCCACAGAATATATATATAACCCAGCAAAGCATTGGAATTGATTCAGTACATCACCATAGAGGAGGGATCCACATGTTTCGACTATTGACATCTAACTTTAGTAATGAATTAGTGAACACAGTCCCATGCTCCCAACGTGTAATCATCCAAACTTGGAACAATGCCACATTTAATAAACGTTAATAGTAGATCAATATGCACAGTCTACTCTCTAATATGAATTTAACTGAATTGCAGAACTTTCTAGGTCCGAATAGTGAAGAGAGAGCCAAACTGAACCATATATACACCATAACATGATATACTAGACAGAACAGAACTATACAGATATTAAAAGTGAAGTATGGTCCAACAAGAGCGAGTAGGACCATAAGTTATTTTTTTCTGAAGAAACCACAGGTCCACAACCACATACTAAGCATTGTTCCCTATAAATTTGGAGTTTGCTACACAAAGAACAGTGAGCATGATATTGCTAGCACTAATACATAAAGGCATGATATTTCACGTCTGATAGCCTATGCCAATTAAAATGGTTAGGTATGGGAATTAGAGATGAGCATGGTAGGCACTATTATTATAAAATATCTGGTTGGTTAACCAGCAGCTGTCTAAACCAATGATGGGCATCCACTATTATGAACAAAATTAACTACAGTTCACAGAAAACAATGCATCCTGATCATATATCTTTGTCATGGAAGAAACCTAATCCTTTAAGGAAAAGGAAATGGAAATGCAGGAACTATTCTTAATAACTTTGCACTGCAAACCCTGCGGTTCCCATTTACTGCTATCTTCAGAACTATACTGATTCAGAACCAGATGTTCATATTCCATGCACGTTTTCCAATATCCTTATCCTTATGACATCGTTCTAACCATTTTTTTCTCAATCAGATTCAGATTACACGTGCAGATAAACATGCATACAATATACCTGAATATTTGGAGCTATTAAACTTGGCTGATCAGTGAAGAAGAGCACCATCCTTCCAATCTCTTGCTTCAGTAAAATTCTCCTTTCACGGTGTATGGCATCACATGAAAATAATGCTTGCTCATGAACTTCACTGCAGTCACCAAATATACACATTACCAAAACTGATTATCATCCTACAAATATCAGAAGAAAAGGGCAGAGATGTCCAAAACAAGTTGATGGAAATTTTGATTCAAATTTAAAGTTTCAAATGAAGCAAACAGAAACAGTCAATGAGAGTAGAGATAACCACCAAAACAAAAATACTTCCTCGAGTATATTAGCAGTGTGCGGAAATAAAATAAAATAAAATAAGGTAGAAACAAATGAGACAGAAAGTAAGAACACTCAGCCTTGTGAAGCCAAGATTCTGAAACAAACATGTCCACGCTCAAATAATTAGGAACTTCTTTTTCCCTCATTTACAACTCTTTTTCCCTCATTTACAACCATACAACATCCACCATGTCATTTAGATCCACAGAAATAAAACCAATATATACATGGTCAATGTCATGAAAGTTGTAAAAAATGGGATCAGAAGAATATCATACAAATCCCCCCACCCCCTTTATAATTTCAGACAGCCATATTTGAAGGCTATACGCAAGGTATAAGAATGTAGTGCCGTATTTCATCAGAAAAACTGGTTTCTGCAACCCAGGACTTTAGCCACAGTAAATACCAGAGAATGCTGATAGTGCAACTTCTGCTTCTGAGAAACTCAAGCATCTCTCCTATTTCCAAAGCCATAATCATTTTCAGAGACCACGTGACATTTCAAGAATCTTCTGATACACATCTTTCTTTTTCAGAGAATGAACATTCATCTCATCATTGAACATCAGTGCTCTAAAGAGAGGCGAGGATGACCACATCCAAGTTACAAAATTCTTGTTTATTTTCTCGAGAGTTGCTGACGCATCGTCATTTTGGTAAGTCATACATCCCTGGAACAATTATACTTGCACGTTGGAAATGTTGCCTGGTTTTCCATAATTATATAATGGTCGACACCTTGTTTTTTTCTTGTACCATGTATTCATATTGCATTATTATGGGTTCCCTATTTAGATGACATGCGATACACAAAAAATACCGAATATGAATTCTCCATTGAGTATCCAATCCATTAATACCTTATCATTCTCTCCACCTGCTTTGCAACACTATACTCCAGATCTGCTTCCTTTTGCTTTGTCCGCCCATACTTCGCCATCTTCTTTGATTCCAATATCCGTGGTAAAACATACAACTGATAATCCTCATGCAATAATATATACTGCACATTTAACATGGGAGAGTGATATACCAGCTCATATTAAGAAGACGAAAAGATAGAGCATCACATCAGTATACAAACCAAGCTGTTCACTGGTAAATCATCTTATACTCAACATCTTTGTTATGTTTATTCTTTTACGTATAATGAATAAGTGACTTCATATATTAATGGTTAAGAATTGCTATCACAGAGCTTTGAACTTTTCTGTATATTGGTTAATTATAAAAGCCCACAGTTTTATAAGTGCCAATTTTGCGCCCTTGTTCTTCTTCCAAGAACAACATGACTTTACTTGAATTAGCAACTGCAGTTCCAGGTCTTTTGGTTTCCATAAAAAAATCCTGGCTCAATATGCATTAAAGTATGTTATCATCCTCTCTTAGCCCTGCCGCCTGGTAAGTCAGTACAAGGGTAAGGTTGTGTAATACAGAACCTATTTATTGCCACGCTACAGGGTTCCTTCTTGGAGTGGATTCTGCATTTTATACTTTTTTATAGAAAGGACAGCAAGGAACAGCATTGGCTAGCTGAAGATCCAGTGGTGCCAGAATTGATGGTAAGAAGCCATTTGAATATAATATAGTTACAGAAGAGTTCAGGAGTTTGAGAATCCTATTTGAGAGTCAAAGTTAATTTTCTTTGGAAACATTTTTGGAGAAATCAGCACTTATTGGGCATAAGGCTTAGCTTCTTACTATTCACGTTGTATAACTTCCATCTCCCCACGCCTGTTTAGATAATTGCACACAAACTTTCGAAAAATACAGATAGTGGGTAGTGGGTACCAACAAAATTCTGTCAATTTATGAGAGATATATATACTTTTTGGACAGTCAAGAAATTCACTATATCCCATTTTGCAATAAATTAAATATGCCTGAAGAAATGAAGAAACACATGTTTCATTTGAAAGAACGGACATAAATAACTCACCTCATCCCTAAATAATGTAAGAACTAGGTTTTCCTTCAGCACAACCTGAAAGGCATTCCAAGAAAGAAGTATTGGAATTCATTAGTGGTAAATAGATATATAGCCAAGCAGGCAGAAAAATATTATAGCAACCCAAAAAATGGTTATCCAAATTCAACCACCCCAGGCCCAAATTCTTAAGTGCATATATCTTATTCTGTCTTATTTTCCTAAGTATGTAAACAATATATTGCAGCGCCAAGGTAATTCATATTATACACCACCATTAAATTCATTAAAAAGATCTTTTTTTGTGATATATTTTTTCCAACAAAGTAAAATTTCAAATCACTATGGAAACAGAAGGAAAAAGGATGGGCTGCAATGTACCAAAGCAATGTCGATGCTTGTGACCCTAAGAAGCTCATCAGGGCACACAAGATATCCAAATAACACCCATTCTCTATAGCAAGTAACATTTGCCAAGTCTTGAGCCCTCTGCAAATGAAGAGATATAAGTAAATGTAAAATAATGACCCGAAGAGAGAAAAATGACTACATAACTTCCTTCACAGAGAAGTTGTCTTTGGTCGTTAATTCATAATTATTAGTCTAGATTTATCAAAAATAAAAATAAAATGAAAGAAAACAATTTACCATTGGATGTGCCGAGTTGGTAAGTATGTCAGGATATCGAGGATGAAAAGGGCTCAGAAAACCCTCATTTCTTAGCTTCCTTGTATCAGTAGATAAAAATACAACAGGACCCACAGCCTCCAACACCTGACATAAGGATATGAGAAGAAACTAGTTACTTGCCTAATTCTTGTTTTTAACAGAAAACATAAAGGAGAGAACGCATTAAGAAACTATAGAGCAACAACACTAACAAAGGGTAGATAATGTAATGTTACATGAGGATGACACAACGTTCATGTTTGGGTTTCGTTATAAGTTGCTGAAATTTCAATGTAATAGAAATTATTGGTGGATTAAAAATTAAAGTTTGACTTGACCTTTAAATTTAAGGAGATTAAAGTGAAAGGCAAACAAGCACAATATTTTCATAACAAGAAACGTGATCTCATGCCACTTTTTTCAAGCATTGTGTAGCATATAGCACCAGTAACTTCCACACATGATTTCTTTATGCGTGCAACTGTTTATATATGCAAATTATGTGCTTGGAAGAAAAGGTGTACTGGAAAAAATGTGAAAGGAAAAATAATCTACTTGTGTAATTATATTAGTAATAAAATAGATAAGACGTAATACCTCTCCAATTCGAGGGCTGACAAAATTAAGATCTTCCTGTAACCCCTTTAATGGTGGATCATAGGAATCCACAAATTGAATTAATCTGTTATCAAGAAAGATGGAAAAGTTAGCAAGCAATACGCAATATTTTTTGTACTGCAGAGTTGACATATAGATTGACCACAAACACGCATAATTTATTGCAAATGCACCCTTCAGTAAGAGGAGAAACCCCATCTACTTCCATACATCTAGGCGATCTTTGTCAATTTCCCTATCATTTAATAAGTTAATGGTCCAAAATCTATATATTGTCCTTCTCAATACCCTAATACTAATTCATTTTCTTTCAACGATTAAACTCATTTATAACCCCAAAAGTTGACACGTGAATCTTCTTTCACGTCGACATTAGGTTGATACTGCCTTAACTAAAAACAAATAGTTGGTTCCTTAAGTGTGTCTTATCTCTCTGAAAGCAGGATAGTGCACACAGTTATTAAGCATATCATTTCATCTGGCATTACAGTTACTTCTGGTAAAGAAGTCAAAAATGACTTTCGTTGTCTATGCCATCAGGAATACAAACGTCAGAGAAACCATAAAAGTCACAAACTACATTGTCAGATCATCTTAATTTATCTTTAGATCTGTATATATATCATTGTGCAAAACGCAATCAAATGAAAGGTTCTAAAATCACAGATAGATTAGATTCAAAACTTATGACACACCCCACTGAGGTTTACAACTCTAACAAGTATGGACAATCTTACCGGTGGTAAAAATCACAATCTCGGTCATTTCTTGCCATAGCATGCAACATATTGTAGGTTTGCAACATCATTTTTCTTGGTACCTATGACAGCAGTGTAGACTCGAGTAATAATTAGGCATCCACATTGAATTATGAATGCATATTGCATGATTTCATGCATACAAGAGCAATAAAATCAACAGAGTATCCACCTAGGGAAAAAACAGTAAGCAAGAAATACATAAATGCAGACTTGCCTTCTCAGAAAATAGATTAACACGAACAAAGGAGCAAAAGAGGTCCATAAAGGCATGTAGTATGAGAGAATTTTGGTGGGGCTGCAAGAAAGTGACCAAAGTGTCAAAATGCCATGTGATGATAATAACATTGCTCATTGTTGTTAATTTCAATAATGCTAGTGACAATAGATTTTTTTGTTAGATGCACATTATTCAGTAATGCGCACATCAGAATGATCGTAAAAACAAAATCTAAAAAATTATCAGTCATTGGATTCACTGGACTAAGGGCATATCAAACCAAAAGTACAAGTCATTCCAAATTTTTATAAATGGTACAATTCATCTCTAGATTCTCCACAAATTAATGAACTTGCATCATCCCTCACCAGCAAGGTAATAACAGTGCTGCTTAAATCCAATATGAGCCGCAAAGCTTGCTCTCGAAATGCCATCAGGTCAAGGAGCAGCTGTCAAGACAATGGAGTCAGTTGTAACATAGTTATGATAAAGCTAGTAGATGCATCACAATATTGATACGAAAACACAAGGTACAGAAGAATAGCCAGTAAAACATAAAATTTCTTAATTTGAGAGTGTTTGTTGGGGATTAAAATTAGATTTTTTAGTAGATTTTGTTAGAAGTTTTTGAAATATGTGGTTGAAAAGTTGTGGGACCAATAAAAAATGTAGTTAATATTGATTGTTTGACTTTCACTTAGATTAAAATCAGAATTTAATCCTTTCCAAACAGGCTCTTTGACTGTAAAACAGTATCTTACTTTAACTTTGCAACAGTAGATGCACATTATTTCATCTGGTTTTTTAAACCACTTCATATAAATTGAGTCATCCAGACTTTTTTTTGTGAAATGCGACAGATCTCATGTCATCTTTGACCATGAGCCTCATCTCACCATACACTTCTTTATATTTTTACTGTTTGTTATAGTCGTTGGTGTGCATGTAGATGTGGATGTGACTATTGATTGTTTTCATTTCTGTTTCAGCACTTGTCTCCAAGTTTTTCTAACTCCAGAAAATCATAGATAGCAAAAGAAAAAGCACATTGAATTGAAGTCATCAGTTACTTTCTAATGTGGTCAGACATAAAGGTTGGAATAATGTAGATTGCGGAGCAGGTAAATTTACAATTTTTAACACAATGTAATATATAGTCCAACACATCTCAAAAAATACAATAACAACAACAAACAACAAACTAAGCATTCCCAATAATCCATCAACACAAACGCCGGCTCAAAATTGAGGTACTATTATTGGAAAGAACTAGTACAATCATGGAAAGAATGACAGCAGATAAGTGACTCACTTGAATCCATGGTTCCAAGCTTTGTATATGAACTTCTGCACTATCCACCATAGCATCCAAAGCAAATTTATCAACCTACAGGATTACTTCCATTGTCAATAACATAAACAAGTATTACTAAGTTACAGCTAATGTAAATGCTAAATAATAAACTAATAAATCTGAAAGAATTCTAGAACTTCACCCGTTCTAGCTGTAACTTGCTGTGATGTTCAGGAAACTTCTTCACGAGTAAAATACAAATTTTGGGATGGTTAGGGAACACGCCTGATTTCCAAAATGCTTCTGAGTAGATATGACTGACTAAATCAGGGTAATCCAAAATTTGATTTAGTCTATACATTTTCACCATCAGTCCTTCGGCTACTTGCGTGAGCTGGTACAACCATTGCATGTTCAAACCCTTATGTGATGACCCGCTTGAGCTCTGGCTTGTAGCACCGTCTCCACCATTTAATCTAGGGGCCATTTCTGGACCTAAGTATTCATTCCACCTTGTTGGACCCTCCCATTCCTTTGACCTTATTGCTGAGGGAGATGATGTTAATACGTCTTGCGCCGCAAAGTGCATCCTAGATTTTGCCATGTCTGTACAACTAAAATGCTTCACTCCCAATAATACCTATTTTCTGCATTCCAACCAATGTATATATAGTTCAATTCTTAAAAATCTTCACTAAACTTCAGATTCATAATCCAATGAGTTTTTCCCAAAATTCACTTATTCACCAAAAACCAGAACTAAAAACCAAACCTAAGCCCCCAAATTCTTCTCGCTCGAACAAAAATTCCTTCACCTCAGAGGACAAATAACCATAACAGAACAGAACAGAACAGACAAAAAACCTAAGAAACTATTAAATTATAAAAAGCAAAGCATTTCTCAGTTGCGAATTTCCTAAAATTTTGACCTTTTCGGTAATTTATTATAATTCATAATTTTCAGTTTATTAAAAAAAAAAAAAAAAAGACTGCGCGAAGTATATATTGACAAAACTTCAAAAAATCGAAAGCAAGTACCGTACAGAAATGCAATGCCGAAGTTTGGGAGTAGTTAGAACAGGAACGAGATCGAGTCAAGAGCTTCAACTTCAGATCTGAGCACTACTAACTGGTAATAATAGTACAGTAAAACTTCCAAAATCCCATGGTTTTAGTGAGAGAAAGGTAAGGGTTAGGGGAATGTATATATGAAGTATTTCTTCGTTTGATAATACATTACAGAGTTGACGATTTGTTAGCTTTATGTTTTTCTTTCGCTTTCTCTATCTGTAGAGGGAGGGAAGGGGAGAGAGAGAGGCGAGAACCAGCACGCACGATCTCCGTACCACCCGATTTTTTCTTTTAGTTTTTCTTTCCTCATTTTTTTCCCCCTCATGGAGTAATCAATTTTTTAACTCTTAAAAATATATCCAACCTATTCCTCAATTAAGCTCCGTTTGATAGCCATTTTTTTTAAAATATAGTTTTCTCTCTTTTTTTTTTAACCACACATTCTTTATTAAAATAATATTACACATAAATCAAAAAAAATTTCTTATTTTTCAATCACACATCTATGCCAATTAAAATGGTTAGGTATGGGAATTAGAGATGAGCATGGTAGGCACTATTATTATAAAATATCTGGTTGGTTAACCAGCAGCTGTCTAAACCAATGATGGGCATCCACTATTATGAACAAAATTAACTACAGTTCACAGAAAACAATGCATCCTGATCATATATCTTTGTCATGGAAGAAACCTAATCCTTTAAGGAAAAGGAAATGGAAATGCAGGAACTATTCTTAATAACTTTGCACTGCAAACCCTGCGGTTCCCATTTACTGCTATCTTCAGAACTATACTGATTCAGAACCAGATGTTCATATTCCATGCACGTTTTCCAATATCCTTATCCTTATGACATCGTTCTAACCATTTTTTTCTCAATCAGATTCAGATTACACGTGCAGATAAACATGCATACAATATACCTGAATATTTGGAGCTATTAAACTTGGCTGATCAGTGAAGAAGAGCACCATCCTTCCAATCTCTTGCTTCAGTAAAATTCTCCTTTCACGGTGTATGGCATCACATGAAAATAATGCTTGCTCATGAACTTCACTGCAGTCACCAAATATACACATTACCAAAACTGATTATCATCCTACAAATATCAGAAGAAAAGGGCAGAGATGTCCAAAACAAGTTGATGGAAATTTTGATTCAAATTTAAAGTTTCAAATGAAGCAAACAGAAACAGTCAATGAGAGTAGAGATAACCACCAAAACAAAAATACTTCCTCGAGTATATTAGCAGTGTGCGGAAATAAAATAAAATAAAATAAGGTAGAAACAAATGAGACAGAAAGTAAGAACACTCAGCCTTGTGAAGCCAAGATTCTGAAACAAACATGTCCACGCTCAAATAATTAGGAACTTCTTTTTCCCTCATTTACAACTCTTTTTCCCTCATTTACAACCATACAACATCCACCATGTCATTTAGATCCACAGAAATAAAACCAATATATACATGGTCAATGTCATGAAAGTTGTAAAAAATGGGATCAGAAGAATATCATACAAATCCCCCCACCCCCTTTATAATTTCAGACAGCCATATTTGAAGGCTATACGCAAGGTATAAGAATGTAGTGCCGTATTTCATCAGAAAAACTGGTTTCTGCAACCCAGGACTTTAGCCACAGTAAATACCAGAGAATGCTGATAGTGCAACTTCTGCTTCTGAGAAACTCAAGCATCTCTCCTATTTCCAAAGCCATAATCATTTTCAGAGACCACGTGACATTTCAAGAATCTTCTGATACACATCTTTCTTTTTCAGAGAATGAACATTCATCTCATCATTGAACATCAGTGCTCTAAAGAGAGGCGAGGATGACCACATCCAAGTTACAAAATTCTTGTTTATTTTCTCGAGAGTTGCTGACGCATCGTCATTTTGGTAAGTCATACATCCCTGGAACAATTATACTTGCACGTTGGAAATGTTGCCTGGTTTTCCATAATTATATAATGGTCGACACCTTGTTTTTTTCTTGTACCATGTATTCATATTGCATTATTATGGGTTCCCTATTTAGATGACATGCGATACACAAAAAATACCGAATATGAATTCTCCATTGAGTATCCAATCCATTAATACCTTATCATTCTCTCCACCTGCTTTGCAACACTATACTCCAGATCTGCTTCCTTTTGCTTTGTCCGCCCATACTTCGCCATCTTCTTTGATTCCAATATCCGTGGTAAAACATACAACTGATAATCCTCATGCAATAATATATACTGCACATTTAACATGGGAGAGTGATATACCAGCTCATATTAAGAAGACGAAAAGATAGAGCATCACATCAGTATACAAACCAAGCTGTTCACTGGTAAATCATCTTATACTCAACATCTTTGTTATGTTTATTCTTTTACGTATAATGAATAAGTGACTTCATATATTAATGGTTAAGAATTGCTATCACAGAGCTTTGAACTTTTCTGTATATTGGTTAATTATAAAAGCCCACAGTTTTATAAGTGCCAATTTTGCGCCCTTGTTCTTCTTCCAAGAACAACATGACTTTACTTGAATTAGCAACTGCAGTTCCAGGTCTTTTGGTTTCCATAAAAAAATCCTGGCTCAATATGCATTAAAGTATGTTATCATCCTCTCTTAGCCCTGCCGCCTGGTAAGTCAGTACAAGGGTAAGGTTGTGTAATACAGAACCTATTTATTGCCACGCTACAGGGTTCCTTCTTGGAGTGGATTCTGCATTTTATACTTTTTTATAGAAAGGACAGCAAGGAACAGCATTGGCTAGCTGAAGATCCAGTGGTGCCAGAATTGATGGTAAGAAGCCATTTGAATATAATATAGTTACAGAAGAGTTCAGGAGTTTGAGAATCCTATTTGAGAGTCAAAGTTAATTTTCTTTGGAAACATTTTTGGAGAAATCAGCACTTATTGGGCATAAGGCTTAGCTTCTTACTATTCACGCTGTATAACTTCCATCTCCCCACGCCTGTTTAGATAATTGCGCACAAACTTCCGAAAAATACAGATAGTGGGTAGTGGGTACCAACAAAATTCTGTCAATTTATGAGAGATATATATACTTTTTGGACAGTCAAGAAATTCACTATATCCCATTTTGCAATAAATTAAATATGCCTGAAGAAATGAAGAAACACATGTTTCATTTGAAAGAACGGACATAAATAACTCACCTCATCCCTAAATAATGTAAGAACTAGGTTTTCCTTCAGCACAACCTCGAAAAATACAGATAGTGGGTAGTGGGTACCAACAAAATTCTGTCAATTTATGAGAGATATATATACTTTTTGGACAGTCAAGAAATTCACTATATCCCATTTTGCAATAAATTAAATATGCCTGAAGAAATGAAGAAACACATGTTTCATTTGAAAGAACGGACATAAATAACTCACCTCATCCCTAAATAATGTAAGAACTAGGTTTTCCTTCAGCACAACCTGAAAGGCATTCCAAGAAAGAAGTATTGGAATTCATTAGTGGTAAATAGATATATAGCCAAGCAGGCAGAAAAATATTATAGCAACCCAAAAAATGGTTATCCAAATTCAACCACCCCAGGCCCAAATTCTTAAGTGCATATATCTTATTCTGTCTTATTTTCCTAAGTATGTAAACAATATATTGCAGCGCCAAGGTAATTCATATTATACACCACCATTAAATTCATTAAAAAGATCTTTTTTTGTGATATATTTTTTCCAACAAAGTAAAATTTCAAATCACTATGGAAACAGAAGGAAAAAGGATGGGCTGCAATGTACCAAAGCAATGTCGATGCTTGTGACCCTAAGAAGCTCATCAGGGCACACAAGATATCCAAATAACACCCATTCTCTATAGCAAGTAACATTTGCCAAGTCTTGAGCCCTCTGCAAATGAAGAGATATAAGTAAATGTAAAATAATGACCCGAAGAGAGAAAAATGACTACATAACTTCCTTCACAGAGAAGTTGTCTTTGGTCGTTAATTCATAATTATTAGTCTAGATTTATCAAAAATAAAAATAAAATGAAAGAAAACAATTTACCATTGGATGTGCCGAGTTGGTAAGTATGTCAGGATATCGAGGATGAAAAGGGCTCAGAAAACCCTCATTTCTTAGCTTCCTTGTATCAGTAGATAAAAATACAACAGGACCCACAGCCTCCAACACCTGACATAAGGATATGAGAAGAAACTAGTTACTTGCCTAATTCTTGTTTTTAACAGAAAACATAAAGGAGAGAACGCATTAAGAAACTATAGAGCAACAACACTAACAAAGGGTAGATAATGTAATGTTACATGAGGATGACACAACGTTCATGTTTGGGTTTCGTTATAAGTTGCTGAAATTTCAATGTAATAGAAATTATTGGTGGATTAAAAATTAAAGTTTGACTTGACCTTTAAATTTAAGGAGATTAAAGTGAAAGGCAAACAAGCACAATATTTTCATAACAAGAAACGTGATCTCATGCCACTTTTTTCAAGCATTGTGTAGCATATAGCACCAGTAACTTCCACACATGATTTCTTTATGCGTGCAACTGTTTATATATGCAAATTATGTGCTTGGAAGAAAAGGTGTACTGGAAAAAATGTGAAAGGAAAAATAATCTACTTGTGTAATTATATTAGTAATAAAATAGATAAGACGTAATACCTCTCCAATTCGAGGGCTGACAAAATTAAGATCTTCCTGTAACCCCTTTAATGGTGGATCATAGGAATCCACAAATTGAATTAATCTGTTATCAAGAAAGATGGAAAAGTTAGCAAGCAATACGCAATATTTTTTGTACTGCAGAGTTGACATATAGATTGACCACAAACACGCATAATTTATTGCAAATGCACCCTTCAGTAAGAGGAGAAACCCCATCTACTTCCATACATCTAGGCGATCTTTGTCAATTTCCCTATCATTTAATAAGTTAATGGTCCAAAATCTATATATTGTCCTTCTCAATACCCTAATACTAATTCATTTTCTTTCAACGATTAAACTCATTTATAACCCCAAAAGTTGACACGTGAATCTTCTTTCACGTCGACATTAGGTTGATACTGCCTTAACTAAAAACAAATAGTTGGTTCCTTAAGTGTGTCTTATCTCTCTGAAAGCAGGATAGTGCACACAGTTATTAAGCATATCATTTCATCTGGCATTACAGTTACTTCTGGTAAAGAAGTCAAAAATGACTTTCGTTGTCTATGCCATCAGGAATACAAACGTCAGAGAAACCATAAAAGTCACAAACTACATTGTCAGATCATCTTAATTTATCTTTAGATCTGTATATATATCATTGTGCAAAACGCAATCAAATGAAAGGTTCTAAAATCACAGATAGATTAGATTCAAAACTTATGACACACCCCACTGAGGTTTACAACTCTAACAAGTATGGACAATCTTACCGGTGGTAAAAATCACAATCTCGGTCATTTCTTGCCATAGCATGCAACATATTGTAGGTTTGCAACATCATTTTTCTTGGTACCTATGACAGCAGTGTAGACTCGAGTAATAATTAGGCATCCACATTGAATTATGAATGCATATTGCATGATTTCATGCATACAAGAGCAATAAAATCAACAGAGTATCCACCTAGGGAAAAAACAGTAAGCAAGAAATACATAAATGCAGACTTGCCTTCTCAGAAAATAGATTAACACGAACAAAGGAGCAAAAGAGGTCCATAAAGGCATGTAGTATGAGAGAATTTTGGTGGGGCTGCAAGAAAGTGACCAAAGTGTCAAAATGCCATGTGATGATAATAACATTGCTCATTGTTGTTAATTTCAATAATGCTAGTGACAATAGATTTTTTTGTTAGATGCACATTATTCAGTAATGCGCACATCAGAATGATCGTAAAAACAAAATCTAAAAAATTATCAGTCATTGGATTCACTGGACTAAGGGCATATCAAACCAAAAGTACAAGTCATTCCAAATTTTTATAAATGGTACAATTCATCTCTAGATTCTCCACAAATTAATGAACTTGCATCATCCCTCACCAGCAAGGTAATAACAGTGCTGCTTAAATCCAATATGAGCCGCAAAGCTTGCTCTCGAAATGCCATCAGGTCAAGGAGCAGCTGTCAAGACAATGGAGTCAGTTGTAACATAGTTATGATAAAGCTAGTAGATGCATCACAATATTGATACGAAAACACAAGGTACAGAAGAATAGCCAGTAAAACATAAAATTTCTTAATTTGAGAGTGTTTGTTGGGGATTAAAATTAGATTTTTTAGTAGATTTTGTTAGAAGTTTTTGAAATATGTGGTTGAAAAGTTGTGGGACCAATAAAAAATGTAGTTAATATTGATTGTTTGACTTTCACTTAGATTAAAATCAGAATTTAATCCTTTCCAAACAGGCTCTTTGACTGTAAAACAGTATCTTACTTTAACTTTGCAACAGTAGATGCACATTATTTCATCTGGTTTTTTAAACCACTTCATATAAATTGAGTCATCCAGACTTTTTTTTGTGAAATGCGACAGATCTCATGTCATCTTTGACCATGAGCCTCATCTCACCATACACTTCTTTATATTTTTACTGTTTGTTATAGTCGTTGGTGTGCATGTAGATGTGGATGTGACTATTGATTGTTTTCATTTCTGTTTCAGCCCTTGTCTCCAAGTTTTTCTAACTCCAGAAAATCATAGATAGCAAAAGAAAAAGCACATTGAATTGAAGTCATCAGTTACTTTCTAATGTGGTCAGACATAAAGGTTGGAATAATGTAGATTGCGGAGCAGGTAAATTTACAATTTTTAACACAATGTAATATATAGTCCAACACATCTCAAAAAATACAATAACAACAACAAACAACAAACTAAGCATTCCCAATAATCCATCAACACAAACGCCGGCTCAAAATTGAGGTACTATTATTGGAAAGAACTAGTACAATCATGGAAAGAATGACAGCAGATAAGTGACTCACTTGAATCCATGGTTCCAAGCTTTGTATATGAACTTCTGCACTATCCACCATAGCATCCAAAGCAAATTTATCAACCTACAGGATTACTTCCATTGTCAATAACATAAACAAGTATTACTAAGTTACAGCTAATGTAAATGCTAAATAATAAACTAATAAATCTGAAAGAATTCTAGAACTTCACCCGTTCTAGCTGTAACTTGCTGTGATGTTCAGGAAACTTCTTCACGAGTAAAATACAAATTTTGGGATGGTTAGGGAACACGCCTGATTTCCAAAATGCTTCTGAGTAGATATGACTGACTAAATCAGGGTAATCCAAAATTTGATTTAGTCTATACATTTTCACCATCAGTCCTTCGGCTACTTGCGTGAGCTGGTACAACCATTGCATGTTCAAACCCTTATGTGATGACCCGCTTGAGCTCTGGCTTGTAGCACCGTCTCCACCATTTAATCTAGGGGCCATTTCTGGACCTAAGTATTCATTCCACCTTGTTGGACCCTCCCATTCCTTTGACCTTATTGCTGAGGGAGATGATGTTAATACGTCTTGCGCCGCAAAGTGCATCCTAGATTTTGCCATGTCTGTACAACTAAAATGCTTCACTCCCAATAATACCTATTTTCTGCATTCCAACCAATGTATATATACTTCAATTCTTAAAAATCTTCACTAAACTTCAGACTCATAATCCAATGAGTTTTTCCCAAAATTCACTTATTCACCAAAAACCAGAACTAAAAACCAAACATAAGCCCCCAAATTCTTCTCGCTCGAACAAAAATTCCTTCACCTCAGAGGACAAATAACCATAACAGAACAGAACAGAACAGACAAAAAACCTAAGAAACTATTAAATTATAAAAAGCAAAGCATTTCTCAGTTGCGAATTTCCTAAAATTTTGACCTTTTCGGTAATTTATTATAATTCATAATTTTCAGTTTATTAAAAAAAAAAAAAAAAGACTGCGCGAAGTATATATTGACAAAACTTCAAAAAATCGAAAGCAAGTACCGTACAGAAATGCAATGCCGAAGTTTGGGAGTAGTTAGAACAGGAACGAGATCGAGTCAAGAGCTTCAACTTCAGATCTGAGCACTACTAACTGGTAATAATAGTACAGTAAAACTTCCAAAATCCCATGGTTTTAGTGAGAGAAAGGTAAGGGTTAGGGGAATGTATATATGAAGTATTTCTTCGTTTGATAATACATTACAGAGTTGACGATTTGTTAGCTTTATGTTTTTCTTTCGCTTTCTCTATCTGTAGAGGGAGGGAAGGGGAGAGAGAGAGGCGAGAACCAGCACGCACGATCTCCGTACCACCCGATTTTTTCTTTTAGTTTTTCTTTCCTCATTTTTTTCCCCCTCATGGAGTAATCAATTTTTTAACTCTTAAAAATATATCCTCAATTAAGCTCCGTTTGGTAGCCATTTTTTTTAAAATACATTTTTCTCTCTTTTCTTTTTAACCACATATTTTTTATTAAAATAATAATACACATAAATCAAAAAAAATTTCTTATTTTTCAACCACACATTTCACATCAATTTACTATTTTAAAATGCATTTTTACATAAAAATGCCTATCAAACCCTCCTTAGCAAGTAAATACTCATTTTTTCCAAAAGAGAAAATTGATACCTTAAATTTATTATAATTGCTTAACCACTCCCCAATGACATAAACCCCTCAAACTATGAAGTTCACGACCCGTGAACCTTCTACCACCATTGTATTGCTCTGTCAAACTTTCGACGTTTCGACAAATTTTTCATCTACACTTTTTTTATCTGTGTAGATTAGATTGGTGTCAATCCAAAACAATTTGAAAATATTATTTCATTGTTAATTGAACAAATTGAATGCCATACGAAATGGGTTAAGCGTCTCTTACAAACATGTCTCACTTATGGATGACAAAATGCGTGACTCACAATTGAGGGAACATGCTAACATTAATCTTATTTTATTTTATGTCTTTAAGCTCTTGTTTAGTGGCCATTTTTCTATGAAATATATTGTTTTAAATAGCGAAAATTTTTAAAGAATGTGTGATTAAAAAAATAGAAAAGAAGTTTTGAATTTATGCATAAAATATTATATTGTGTATATGTGTTGTTGAAAATAAGTATGCAGAAAAAAGTTTCGAAAAATGAGAGACAAACAATGACTAATTTTAAATAGTATTTAAATAAAAGAAATATTAAAAATAAATAAGTAACGGAAAAAATGGACGTGTGAAATAAGGATATTTTAATCCTAGGGATGAGAAGGGTCACCTATCCTGTTGCTATCTCTAAACTATTTGTATTGTTGAAATCAATTATGCAACTACAATGAAGCACTAAGAAAAGAGAACTTGATCCATTTCAACTTTTGGGGACAAACATACTATTCAAGCAAGAACTTGGTGACCAATAGTGCAATTTTCCCAATATTAACTATAATTAGATAATAATAACCTAAAGTTTTGCCTGATTTACATTAAAAGGCTCTACTACAATTTTTTTCTTACGTATTAGTCCCTGGAGTTTGCTTTTTGCACTTTTCATCTATAATCTTTATGTTTATAAATATCAATAAACCATTTCATTATTGTGCAGCAGTTGATTACTTTAAAGGTAATTCTCATTGCATATTGGGATAATATTTAATCAATCAATAATAGCTAAGATTTCATAATCCAAATAGCATCATTGTTGTGCTACTTAAGCCAACTTAAGCCTAAAGTCAATTTTAACTTTCTAGCCAATGTACTAGCTAAACTTCTGATAGAAGATACTCGATTGATTAGTTACATATATTTTGTAAAAAGATTGATTCCTGTTTGACGGGAATTAAAATTAAATTTTTAATAAGTTTTGATAAAAGTTGGTGAAATATATTGTTGAAAAATTGTAATTCTCTTGAAATATATAGTTAAAATTAATTGTTAATTTTAACTTGAATTAAAAAATAGATTTTAATCCCTATCAAACGGGGCGAAATAAAAACAATAATCTTTGCCCTTATTTGGGATCCATTTTAGTTTAATGCATTTTCTTGTTTCTTTATTTTTATCACACATTTTTTAATAAAATAATATTAAATGTAAATCTTAATAGTTTTTCTTATTTGTTAATAATACATTATTCAAAAAATTACTATTCCTAAATAGATTTTTTATCCAAAAATTCATTAAAGTGAAACCCAACCAAATGCTAAAAAATGCAATAACTTCCTTGCCAATATATTAAGGGCCCGTTTGAGCCTCATTATTTCTCATTATATTAAATTAAATTTATCTCTCCCCTTACTTTTAACCACACAATCTTCAATAAAATGATATTACACGTAAATCAAAAAAATTTCAATCACTCATTTTTTTTTAAAAAACACTATTCATTTCATTATAATGCCAAATAACGAGGCTCGAACATACCCTAAACACCACGTACAGGCTCATGTTTGGCCACGGGTGGGTGTAGATCAGAATATTTGGGTGGGGTAGGGTTGGAGTTTATGTGGTGAGTGGATGCGTGAGCTTGGGAAAGATGATTTTTTTCTAAATTCTTTTTTTTTTAACACAAATTTAATTGCTTTAAGTGAGATTTATTTGTTTTCTATGAAAAAAATATGGGATAGCATTTGTTATTTTATCATTTTCTTTTTACTGTTCTCTTTTATTGTTGTTTATTTAATGAGAAAGACAATCCGTCGTTTAGTGGTCATAATAGAAGGACGAGTTTTCTTACAAAATCAACACTTGGAGGTCAGATGGATTATGAGAAAAAAGGTTGTGCGTAAATTTTGCTACGCTTTGCAAATGTGAGGACGAAAAGTGCAAATTTCCCATTTTAAAATGTTATAAATAGTTAATGCACCACGTGTGACTTGGGTGACTGGTGGAGCCGCTAATGGGTGACGGTGCGTATTTTAGAAGGGTGGTGATGGAGTCCAAAAGTGGAGAACATGCTTAGCTTTGACATCAAGCCTGCATCATTATGTGAATACTGTAGGCGGCTATGCATGTACATAGACTACTGCGTAGGTTTTTGCCCAAAAGTAGAAGGGGTGATCAATGATTGATTTTCGGAACTTGCTGGGTAGAGAAACTATACAAACAGAAGTCATACAAAACAGACACAATAGTGAGTGTGTGGGAATTTTTTGACATTTTTATCATAACATGGGTTTCACACATGTTAAATTTCTGATAGAATTCCATGAAACAATTTTCCATATAAATGGGATTATTCTTGATTTTCATCACAGCCATATAGAGTCCATCATTTAAAACTAAATAAAATAGACTATATTGATGATGAAGATGGATGTAGTGATATTTGATAAAGTCATTGAGGAAATGTTGATGTACGAGATGTATTTTAGTAATAAGAGGTGTGATTTTGACAATACTGACGTTGAATCTTCAAATAGCTAAGTGTGTGTGAATGTGTGTGTGTATATATATATATATATATATACACACACACACTTAGCTATTTGAAGAAGACAAAGATAACCTTCAAAAACTAACAAATATTTAACTTGATGGGCGATGGCTGGAAGCATAAAGAGAGTTTTCTTATTCAATTTTGACAATACCCTTTTCATAAAGACCAACGTGCACTAGGTTAGTTTATTGCTGAGGTAATGTAAACCTTTGGAACTTATAATACATTGAGAGTTATGAAGTACATAATTATTACATATAGACGCTTTTTAAAAATATCTCGATCAATATATCCTGAGCATTCAAGCTCGTCCACTGCAACTGAGACGGCATTATGAAGTGAAACTCGGCAAAGATCCATGACTCCAATAGCAAGTAGATCTTCTTATATTTAATTTGGTCATCGAACTTTGTCTGCCTCTTCGCACTAAAGTAACAAAAATATTGACCTTGTGGTGGTGACAATTGTAGGAATTGATTCAAATAATTAACCAAAAATTGGAAAATGAAAAGGTGTGTAAAAGTGGAAAATGAAAAGGCGTGACTACATGTCAAATTCGACCAAATATTCGGATTTGATCCGATGGTCAAATTACAAAAGTAAATAGACCAACTTATTCTACTCGTCGAATAGATCGTCGTGGTATATTTTGAATCTCGAAACCAATTCCAGATGAATGAGAAATTGCGGATTAAAGTTGGAAGAAATGAAGTGTTGCAACTTTTCGAAATGATGTATATTTTGACCAAGTGTTGAAACTTTTTGAAAGGATACATGTTTTGGTCCATACTACTTCATTTGTACCCTTTCTACATCTATAAATAGAATCCTATGGACATGATTTTGGGTACACCAATTGCATTGAGCATTCATTCTCCTCTTACAGTTCTCTCCTTTCTAATTTCATAGCATTTTCATACATTTCCTTGGTAGAGAGAGAATTCCGTTCGAGTTCGTTGGTCGAAGCCATTTGGACTGCTCCTATGGCTTGACGTGATTGTTGTCTCTTAGGAAATGATTGTCGAAAAATCATTAGCACCGATGCGGGGCAAATTCATCTTAAGGACCAAGTGTCAAACACTTGTCTCGACCAAAAATTCATTACTTGCATCTTTCTTCCTACAGTTTTCTGATTTCTTTTTGTTATATTTTGATTTCGAAAAATAATTAACATTGTTTATATGTTTATGTTGCAAGGTTCAACCAAAAGAATAATTTGCTTTCATTCAAGAATCGAAAGGAATGAATCCATATCTATACATTTAGATTCGGTTACTTTTATGTTTTGCTTCTCAAATCCTATTTCGGTAAGCCGAAATTACATTTCGATTTTACGCAAGTAACCGATTTATTTTTGTGAATATAATATGCACGTAATCGACGTGAATTTTCCCCAACAACAATGGCAGTGGCGGTGGAAGTAGAAGAGCACCTAACTTGCATAGAGATAGAAACCTATATATATAGCCCCCAGGGCATATCTCCCAGTGGCAAAGGGGAGGGCGGATAGGGCTCAGCACGGCAGTGTGCAGAGTTCGATTTCCCACAAGGTGGAATTGGCTTTGTTGCAAGCGGGAGTTACCATATGAGTTAACAGCCTTGGCCTATCCATGTGCTCTCCACCCTGACTCCTGAGAGGCACATCCTGCGATTTACCTCCTCCACGATGGCCCAGGACAGGGTCGGTGGGGGCCCTTAAGGTTGGGATTCAACCTTTTTTAAGAAACCTATCGAAATTTAAATCACCCGGTTCGCTCAATACCATTTGTATCATCATTATGACAGTGCTCTTCCACTTGAACGGAGCACTTAGTACATGCCATCATTACTCTGTCCATTGAAAGATTGTTAAAATATTGCAATTTCAATTTCAGGATCTTGCAAAAATACTAAATACTCAGGTGCTTTTCAACTTAAGAAAATTTATTCTTAATTCAATTCGCATTCAACAAGAACTTAAAAAAGGAAAGAAACGTGCTGCCGAGGATAAGGAAAAAGAGAAAAATAACATAATTATGCACTGTCCATCGTCATTGCCAACTAGAAGAAAAATCCTCCAAAGAAGTGTATCTTCATTGGAATTGTGAGCCTTCTCCTTCAGTGATTAGCATCTTCTTCTTCACAGAATTTTGAGTACTGGTTAGAGTCCATCAAGGATTTTACCTCGTCCAAATTCTCGATCTCCACCTTTATGATCCATCCATTTTCATATGGGCTTGCATTAACCTAATCAAGAGAAATAAGAGGATTAGAATCAAAGTAGCAGCATAATTACAGGAAGATCCGCAAAAATAGAATACTTGAAAAAAAAAAAGAAAAAAAGAAACGCGGTAAGGCATCCGGGGAACAACTCTTTGGTTTCTTTTCTTAATGTGACTCTACTATTTAGTTCTCTCTTTCAACAAATCATCAAATTACTCGACCATGAACCATGGAAACATCATTTTTGGACATGAAAACATGGACGAGTTCGTCTCTATCTCTGGTATGTACAATAGCCAAGTCAAAATTCCGGAATTATAGTTTTGGAAAAGAAATTTCAGATACCGTAAACGTTTAAAAGAAGGGAGAATAACAAGAAACTAATACTTTACATTTTCCATTAGCTACAGCAAGCAGCATTAAGTTAACACTAACGAGTGAACTTGTATGTTAAGAGAACTTTACAAACAGCCCAAGTAGTAATGTCTGTGACGTGGTAGATGATAAATTTGGTTAATAATATATGAATTTACCTAAACTAACCATTAAGAAAACAACCATATCATCCCGAGCAAATTGCCATGAGCCGCTCATTGAGCAGAACATACTTTATAAAGACATCTAAAGGGGAGTTAGTTTTATTCTTTTCTTAAAACGACTCCGAACCTCCACAGCCTACTGAAGTTTCTAATTATCAAACATTTGAAACTTTTGATAAATCTGAATTGTTTTCAAAGAACACAAACTGAAAACATAGAATTTCTATGCTTACAAATGTGTCAGCAACATTTTTAGCTGAAGGATAACACAAACAAGAACGAAACACGTCAATATCTAAATCACATGACACAATCCCACTATAAGGCACCATGACACGGCTTAGGCACTTGAATAGGTTAGTATCTGCCATGTGATAGCGTATCAATGGCGGATTAAATCGCATATTATTGCACATTGAGGCCCAAGGAAAACGTGCCCTATTATCCACTAGCTTGAGGAGAATAGAACAATAATATAACATAGAGATTACCATTGAAGAAGGTGCAATCACATTAAACTTTGCAATTAAGGGACAATATATCATGGACTCACCAAACCAGGAGAATTATTAAGCTCTTCATTAACTTCAACCACCTTCCCTGAAATAGGGGAGTTGATGTCACTAGTTGCTTTAACGCTTTCGACAGCACCAAAACTTCCACCTTGTGTCACGGCAGCTCCCACTTCAGGCAGTTCAACATACACAACATCGCCCAAGTGATCTTGAGCATGATCGGTTATGCCAACCGTAGCAGAACTGCCATCAACTTTCACCCATTCATGAGTCTCGGCATACTTGAAATCCTTGATAACTGCATTAAGTTCGAGAGGAAATATTTTGGCAAGATTGTATCTCGATGGACAAGGTCATAAATATTGCTTATTTAAACATAAAACCCAATAACAAAATGTCAACATCGTATTCTTTCTAAAATTTCTTTTAGTGTGAGAATCTTCAAGATCAAGGTCCATGATAAATCAAACCAGGTGAATCAGCATCAACTTTGTTGTATGAAAGATTCTTAATTTGCAGATTTAAATGTTGAATTGTCTTATATCACAATAATAGATTAATGTGCCGTGTAAGTGAATAAATACTTCACGATGCAAATTAGGCAATTACACGCAGCCAAAAATCTAAGTACTGAATGCTACACATAATTATAAATAATCAAAATATTTGCAACAATCTAGCTTATTTTTTGGAGGAAATATTGGTGTGATTGGCAATTATATGTATATCCAAAATAAGTGAAAATTCAACATAAAATAATAACAATTCATATGTATTCAACTACTTGGGATTCAAAAGTTACGACCTTCTCTGTCATTACAACTAATGGAATTAAAAAATAAAATAAAATAAATCCATGATCGTTCATTGACCCGGTGAAACAAAGCACAACCCAGTTATCCACGTTATAAAAATCAGATCTTCACTGAAAAGAACCTCAGATCACGCAGTTTTCATACAGGAAAAACATTAATGAGATTCATTTGTCAACAAACCAATACAACAGAGGTTGGTGAGAACTGAGACATTTCATATAGGAGAATTTTCCTTTTATAAAGTAACCAATATAAGAATATATCTAACTTTAGAGGATTCTGATTTCCACAATTCCTAACGGCAGATTAATTTCTTTCATTGATTCAAAAAATCTTTTATTTTAGTAAAATATATTTAAATTTACATAATTTGAGTATAAAAATGAAGATCCCTTGGGGATAGTTCTGAAAGGAGCATTGAAAATGTCTGATTGATGGTAAAATATCTGCATCAAGAAATCCAAGATCCTTGCCGCGCTGCTTGCGTATTGCTTCTTGCCTAATATGGTTCCATAAGCCACATCGAGGTATGTTTTGTACACAATAATCAACAGTAAAGTATAACCGACAATATTTCAACTTATGTTTTCTTTAATCCAATTTAGTCCGACGTATTCCAACATACCAAATATGCCATGAGTGGCTTCCTTCGGAGAAGATGGAGTCGATCTCAAACCTGCAACACTGTCCCCAAATCTTTGTGCATCGTTCTAATTACAGTAGAAACTTGCTCAATCTGATCTTCACTGGAGCAAGAAGAGAGTAGCACTTTGGCAGTTCCTCCATCTGGATAACAACCATTATCAATCATCTCTTCAAAAATTTCTATGCATCTTTTGTACTGTTTCTTTCTAGAGTAGGCTCCAAGTCTGGACGTCCAAGTCACCACATCCGGTTTCAATTTCTTGGCCGGAAGAGAAGTGAATAGCTCTTCCATTTTCTCAAAAAATCCTGCTCGTCCATACATATTGATCAAGATATTGTAAGTACTTATGTCAGCTTCATATGGTCCACTTTCCATGGCAGATAAAACTTCTTCCATTTTTTCAAACTGGCCTATTCTACCGTACAAGTTCATCATACTATTAAGAACAAAAGTGTCAGGTTTGAGTCCCAATTCATGCATACGGTTCACAATTTCTTCGCATTTTGGCACGTTTCCAATTCTTGAGTAGGCTGATAAAAGTACCATGTGGGATTTCATAGTTGGTTCTATTCCCAGTCGCTGCATTTCATCAAAGACAGACTGTGCATCTAGAACACAAACAAAAAGGTTCTAATCAGTGAAAAGAATGACGAAGTTCAGCACTAATGAAACTTTCATATTCATGTTTGTAGTCAAACAAGTCTGATTCTCACAAAATTTTGGGTTGACTACATGAATCTTTACTCTGTTATATCCAATATTTATGGAAAGGTCCAATAATATCTTTTTTATAGCAACCAACTCAGGTCTTAACAATACTGGGATCACAAGGCTTTTATGAAGGGGATTTTCATGACCACAAAGGCATGCCACAATAATCCAAATCATCGTTCCCTTAATTTTTTCTTACTAGTTCCACTTCCACTTGAAGAGCACCTAATGGATGTGATTAGAACAAGCTTGATGAGAAGAGTTACAGAGATTCGATGTAGTAAGAAGACAGCTACCAAGTTAAAAGGTAGTATTGAAGAGCAGTTACAAAGCTATTTATGCTTTATGCAGAAATGATGATGACTTCACTACTGTGTGGTCATCTTAGTATGAATAAAAATAAGAAACAAGGATATCCCTGTTTGAAGTATTTGGGAAAAAATGTCACATGATAGCTAAGACATAATAAAGGAGAAATTGGATTGATAAAAACCGCCTTAAAAGGCTGACACACAAGGGTTCGAAGCTAGGAAATATGCAGGTAAATTGTGTAGCATAGAGAGCTTTAATTAACTTCAAATAAAATACCTTAACGACTCATGACTTTTTGTTGTCATTCTCTTAGACTCTTAGTGAATTAACATATACAGAAAAGAGTTGAAACAGAAATGTGTTTGACATGTTTTGTCATGTTGTGAGAATTCGGTATTAAGATACGAAGACTATTTTCCGTCTAAGTATAAAAAGAACTACTAATTCAGCGTTCCTTAAGAAAAATATTGCAAATTGGATTCCAAGAGAGGTAAGTTACCTTCATGAAGACCTGCTCTCCCATAGGCATCCACCATGATGTTATACGATGCTCTGTCTGGTTCACAACCCATATGCTGCATGAGAGAAAAGATTTCTGCAGCGCCACTTGGAATACCTGCCCGACTGTTAGGTGAAGTCAAACTTCAGTCAGTTTTACTCATCTCGAAGTAAAATTCAATTATCACTGTTAGGTGAAGTAAGTCAAACTTCAGTCAGTTTTACTCATCTCGAAGTAAAATTCAATTATCCTAATACATCTTCAACTTGCCTATTATAAACCAAGCCTGAAGATGCTTGGAACAAACCAACTCAAACGAAAGGATAGTTATCTTGTCATCCTGAAAAGCCCCTAATTCAATTATCACGATACATCTTCAAAATGCCATATCGTATGCTTTGGTCCGAAAGATTTAGTATTCATAGACTCATAGTAACTAGACTTTATATGGTTAAATACGTTCCAGAATATCTTAATTAGTTTGAATCAGTGAAAACGCAACTTAGAACCCACACTGAGTGCGGTAAAGTGACTAGAGGAAATCTATAGAGTATGAAGCTGCTCTTTCAATCGACCTGTAGGCTTCCATGAGGGCATTATACGCATACACATCAGGCTCAAGTCCAGCTTCCTGCAGCTGTTCGAAGAATTCTTCTGCTTTTTCACACAGCCCATCTCTTGCAAATGCATTCACAAGAGCAGTGAATGTACAAATGTTAGGTTTACATTTTTTGTTTCTCATTTCACGGAACACTTCTAAAGCCATATAGGATTTATTTTCCTGCACCGTTAGAAAGACACATGTCAATGAGAGACAAATAACTTCTAAAGATTTAAAACCTAAAATTAAGAATAACGTTATGAGAATTCTAAATCTTGGACAGGATATGCATTTTGTCATCATTAATAAATGCATCAATATTCAATGGACCAACAGCTTATACAAATATGGGCTGCAAACTGTTGAAACATCAAAGGATCTTCAATCTTAAGTTAGTGACCCCAAGGACGTGCAATCACTAAACTTGGACAAATTACTTGGTAGAATGTTTAGATTCTCTTTAACTTAAGTGGTTAAATACTTCGACGAGATTTTATAATTTATGATGGAGTCACCTGACGACAAGTAAAATAAATAAACTAAAGAAAATGATTACAACCATGAAGTTGATCAACTATCAATTAAAGGACAAACTCGTATCTAAATCACCTTTCCATATTGGTTGATCACCAATGTGTAAGTATCAGCAGTTGGTTCGCACTGCTCTCTCTTCATCCTTTGGAAGATCTCGAGAGCTCTTTGTCCCTTTCTTCCTTTAATTAAGCCATCAATATATGCATTGTAAACAACTGGACCTGAAAAGGTTAAATATATTATGTTTATGCTGAATCTTGAAAGTGCTTGGATATAAAGCCAGTTAAAATAAAATGTATAGTTCATACTTATGGCATTGACTTAACAACTAGACAGCACTCCCTTAACATGACTTGGCTAGGTGCTCCGACTAAGGTTGGAAAAGGAACTGTACACCATGTTAGTTTGCAAGTATATTTAGAAATGAGGTTATATAATATACAATGAATTCAGTTGCAAGAAATAACTGTTTGCTAAACTATACAAGCACATAACTTTAATTGATAAACCAGCTAAATGAAACATAAAAAATGACAATATGAAATATATGACTTCACCATTCACGTAATATATATAACTTGATTATGGAAAACATTATGGAAGCACCGAAGCATACTTGGGGGAAGGCCATCCTTCTGCATCTCAGCAAAGACAGCTTCAGCCTGCTCCAGCAACCCACATCTACAGTAGGCTTTTAAAAGAAGTGCATATGTATCTTCAGTAGGGATACATCGAGCTTCAAGGAGTTCAAAATAAGTGGATTCTGCTTTTTTGAAGAGTAATTTCTGGCCGTAAGCCTCTATAAGAATATTGTAACAAATCACATCTGGCTTGAAGGAGCTTTTGTGCAATATCCATTCACACATCTGAAAAAGTGCTTCTAGTGTCATTGACTGTGTAACTCATAGGCATATATTCAACGAAAATTTCCTATCCCTGAAGGAGAATCATGTGTGCACAAGAGATGTAAACAGTATGTCTAGTTCACCTTTCGGTTGGCACTAAATAAACATTTTTGGCTTTAAACTTTACTCCTTAATGATATCTTCTTTATCTAGTGCCTAGCTATACAGAATTGATTAAGATCGGGACACAACATGTGCATTGAGACTCAATTAAAAGCATTATAATATGTTCTTGTCGTATTAGATAGATTCCGCGAAATACAATGATAGGAAGGCCAAAAAAAGGTTGGAAGAGCGTTTGGTGAAAAGTTGAGAGGACCTTTATACAAATTCAGAAGGTTTATTTATGTGCAGAGACAAAGTCCAGCTAGAGACAGAATCAAGTATAAAAGCATTCAGGAAGACAAATATGATATTGAAAAAGAGGCATAACCAACACTTTTAAGAAGTATTATCTATTAATGCTTTTATGTCAAAACACAATCATCAGGGGATGGGTGGGGGAAGGAACATTGTGCTATGCAAACTAGAGAGCTTTCCAATTGCCAGCAAGGACAAGATTCAACATTTGTTACTTCAAGACCTGTTTCAGAAGTTAGTTTTGCAATGTTCAAGCCCGGTAGAATTGACAATCAAATACCGATTAATGCCTATCAGTGTCCATCTAGAGAAAATAACGAGAAGATAGTTAAGAGGAAAATTAAAATTCGTGCGAGGTCTATACCAGTATTATTGGATTCCATTGTTTATTGAGACGAAGTCGAACAGCTATACTAATTAGGTCGTCCCAAGTGGTATTCGTGAGAGGAAGATTGTCAAGAGAGGACCAAATTCTATTTACATCCACTTCCTTCTGTAGAAAGTTCAGAATCTGCTGAGCAATAGGGCTCAACACAGGGAAAATTCCATCAACAAACCCGGATCCGTATTTCCACCCTTGACCCCTCAAAGAACCACCTGTACCATAATGACATTTAGGCATTCGAGTAAGAAAGCATTAGAATGTGCAGAATATAAATATCAACTAGACATTGTGTTACCCTTTTTTCTTGAAACTTTTTTGTGATTAAAGTTTCTAAATCTCCCGCGTTTGTCAATGAAAAGGCTATCGCGCTTCCACTTCTCAACAGGTTCATCACTTGCACCTTTGGCTCTACACTTAAACTCTGTATTACAACTTCTTCGTTCAACCAATATACATATTGCAGGAATTTTGACAGACAACGTAAATAATTCATCAGAAAAGGTTGAACTTAACACGTAGTCAATCCCACCACCGAAGTTCAGCATTGGCCTGATGAAAGAATGCAAAGTTTCCTCTTGTCAGTGCTTAAAATAAAAAATTAAATGAAAATCAATCTATAGCTTTCAACAATTTCTGAATATTATCACAAGAGTTAATGTGCTTTCCCATGAATTATTCTTGAATTACAATAAGAAATTTGCACAGAGAAACTGTCACTTAGACACTACAGAGTCCTCTCCTCTGGTGATTTCTCCACACAAAAAAAAAAACAATTCTTAAATCAAACTTTTATTATGAAGAGACAATCAGATTCAACTGTGCTGTTGGAAAAATCATTTGTAACTAAAAACATAAATTCGGTCTTAATTATAATATATAAGATAAATAGATAATGTAGAAGGTGTTGAAAATTGAGCTCGCATGCAGAAATTAAGAAGGAAGAAGAAACTTACATGAATGAGCATGAAAATTGAGCCACTCAATTTGCTCTTACTAAACTAGAGTGGATAAATGCATGCAATAGATACATTATCTTAAAATATCTGAAACACATGGAGACAAACACCCACACTCCCTCCATCCATCGGTCTGTCTGGTTCTACTCTAGTCGTCTCTGCGAGTCATTTTCTGTGGTGGGGTTGTTGAATGAAAGTCGCACTTCAGCTCCTTTCACCAGAATAGTTATAGAATATAAACCCGAATCGACCCAATTAAAGTGATTAATACAAATTGAAATAAACATTAGTTTTAAATAAGAAAATGATTTATATACCATATACATATAAAAAGTTTTAAAGCATATTTTAAAATTAAAAAACAATTATATGTAAATAGTATACTTAACAAAGATAATTCAAAGACAATATATAATTATTTTAAATGGAAAATTTTAGCATTAGTGCACTTGTAATAAGTAGACAATGCGTCGAACTAACGAACTTTGACATGGTTACTGTCCAAATGTCCCGGGGCAACAATAACACTAAAATTATGAAACTTGTTTGCAGTCTTTGAAAAGGCTAAGTGGCATGATTCGATTTGGAATATTTTTGGCCGGTTCTCAAGCAAAATCATTTTTTGAGATTCAGTTTGACTTCAAAAAAATTTTTTATCCTGGTGAGGAATGACAAAATATAACTTCTATAAGCTTGTTTTGGAAGTCTATAAATAATTAGTATTCGAATTCGAAATCTATAAATAAGTGCTAACTATCGTTAAATGCAGTTTTTATTATTCAAGGACGTCACAATCAACAAAAAACGCATAAGAAATAGAACAAATGGTGGCAGATAGCCACCAAAAACAGATAATTTTTCAAAATGGCCGTTGACTATTGTTTAAAAAAAAATTCAAAAATTTGTAAAAACCTTAAAAACTCAAAATTGCCCATGACATTTCACTCTCAAACCGACGTCTGGAGAAAGAAGGGGAAGAAATAGCAAGGAAATCGACGGCTTTTTCTTGGGAGGAGACCGACCGACCACCATTAGAGGCGAAGAAAGTAAGTTTTGCTAATTTTTTCCCCATTAATCTTTGGACCTGAATGTTAAATGTTTATTTAGTTGAAAATAGTGGTAAAAATCAATGCAGATTATGTAAAATTACTAGAAAATAAGTTTTTTTAGGTTTTGGTGGTCGGAGATCGTCGAAAATGGCGATCTCCGGGCAGAGGCCGTCTGTTGCAGACCCGTCTGCAACAGACGGCCAAGTTGGGGCGGCCCAGGCCGTCGTCTGTATTGAGTATTATTTTTTTTTCCATGAGAATTAAAATAATTGAAATGTTGTTAAATTATTATTTAAATGAAAAATGAAAAATGTTAATAATCAAAATACGCAATTAAAATTTAATTACAGTTTAATTGAAAGAAATTTCTAAGATTTGAAATAAATAATTAAATATTTACGTTTACTTTGTTCAATAAATAATTTAAATAATTGATCTATATAAGTAATTAAATCAAATAATTCAGATGAACAATTGAAACAAATAAATGAAAAACCATTGGGATAAATAATTAATTGAAACTCACAAAAATAAATACTGAACATTTAAATAATAATTAAATGATAAATAAATAAATGTTAAAAATCAAAATATGCAATTAAAATTTAATTGATACAAATTTCTAACATTTGAATTAAATAATTAAATATTTATGTTTGCTTGTTCAATAAATAATTTAAATAATATATCCATATAAGTAATTAAATCAAATAATTTAAATGAACAATTCAAACAAATAAATAAAAAAGAATTGGAATAAATAATTAATTGAAACTCACAAAAATAAATAATGAATATTTAAATAATAATTAAATGATTATTTAAATGATAAATGAATAAATGTTAATAATCAAAATACGCAATTAAAATTTAATTGATACAAATTTCTAACATTTAAATTAAATAATTAAATATTTACGTTTACTTGTTTAATAAATAATTTAATTAATCTATCCATATAAGTAATTAAATCAAATAATATTTAAATGATAAATGAATAAATGTTAATAATCAAAATATTAATTAATGTTTAATTGAAATAAATTTCTAACATTTGAAATAAATAATAAAATATTTACGTTTGCTCCTGTTCAATAAATAATTTAAATAATCGATCAATATAAGTAATTAAATCAAATAATTTAAATGAACAATTGAAACCATTAAATGAAAAATAATTGGATAAAAATAATCAAAGTAAGTAATTAAAATGTAGATAAACAATTGAAATAAATATCTAACGTTTAAAATAAATAATTAAATATTCAATTAAATAATTAAAATAAATATTGAATAAACAACTAAAGAAAAATATAACAAATAATTACATATTTACGTTTAAATGTTCAATAAATAATTTAAAGAAAATAATTAAATATATAATATAATAAATAACTAAAATTAAGCATTCAATAAACAATTAAAATAAATGTTAAATAAAAATAAACAATTGAAATAAATAATTTAGATAAACAATTGAAATAAATAATGGACATTTAAATAAAAATAAACAATTTAAATAACTAAGAAATATAAATTTTCAAAATAATTTATTTAAATATGTAATTAAATATAAATAATCAAATTTAACTAAATAAAGAATTGAAATAAATTTCTAACATTGATTAAAATAAACTATGAAATAAATAATTTTACAAAAATTAGTTTTTCCCTTTTTTATAAGTTGTTGTGTAATTTTTAATTCATTTTCTTTATTATCTGTTATTTCGTTCGTATATTACTTACAGTTCGGTAAGTTGAATTTTGTGACATCATGTTTCAAATGTTTTAACATTTGAAATTTTGAAGAATGGATTACCCTTTGGACGCAACCTTAAGACAGGTTCCTGGAAAAGTTACGTCGAACTGTAACTTTGTCAATTTCACAGCAGTGTTGGATTCACTGGACGAGGAGCACGCAGAGATATTACGTCGATCCTGCCTATGGCTCCTGTATTCATTGCGATCTGTACAATTCTCTGAACAGTTGATCGATTCATTACTGTGTCGGCTGCTTAAGCCAGTTGACGGAGATGCCCTCCACTTTGATCTTGGGGGCAAGGTTGCTACATTTTCTCTACTCGAGTTTGCCCTCATCACTGGATTGAGATGTACAGGCAAAGAGGCAGCGAGGGCCAGTATTTTGACAGACAAGAGGCTGTTGAATGATTATTTTAATCGGCACACGACAGTGACACTGGCGCAGTTAAGAGATACATTCATGGGATGCGACCAGATGTCCAACAAATTGAAGTTGGGGATGGTGTTTATACAAAAAAGTGTACTGAGGTGTCATCACAGGAAGATGTCGATTGATGTTTTTTATTTGCAAATTGTTAATGACATCGATACGTTCAATAGCGATCAGTGTAAGGAGAGATGATTTGTCGATACTTTACGCGTCTTCAGGAGGGGGCATTCGATGCCTGGGGGAGATAGGTCGGAGCGTAAGTATGATGTATATGGCATGCCGTCAGCTTTGCAGGTAAATGTTTAACATAATGAGTTATCCATTTTTTTATTAAATTGTACATATAATAATCGTAATTGTTGCATATATGGATCTACAAGACTGTTCCCATCCTGATTGGTTGGTATGCGAGGAGAGATGATACATGCATCCCTCGGATGCACCGCTAATGAGCACAAGACAAGCCCCTTGCAAAACAGTTATCAGATATCCTAGACGATCCTAAGGTACGTATTATATATTTGCGCTTTCTGTTGTATGTCATTTTCAAAGCTCGATATGTGGTCAGTAATTCGATGAAATGTCAATATGTCAGCTTGAAGTCCTCACTGAGCTAACACCATCGATCGAGGAGGAGGATCAGACTTATATCTTCGAGTTATTGACAGATCGTGCTGCTCGAGAGAGGCCTGAGTCCATTTTCGATTGGGACACGGTATGTCAATTGAATATAATATTTTGATTATCGTTATAATTTTTTAATTAAGTTATTGATTTGTAATCTTTCTTTTTTAGGAGCGCCGTCGACCATCACTTTCGTCGAGGGTGTCACATTCCGTGAGGATGTCGCCTCCGCTGAGGGTGTTACATTCCCCGAGGATGTTGCCTCCGTCGAGAGTGTCACCTCCCTACATGCGATCACCTCCGCTGAGAGTGTCACCTCCCTGCATGAGATCACCGTCTCCTATGTCCGAACACATCCTACGTGGATCAGCTGCACATAGTCAGAGCACTTCCATCGATGATATGTTTCGATTTATGATGGAGATCAGAGGTGACGTAGCTGACTTACAAGGCGAAGTAGCTGACTTATGACGTGATGTCGGGATGGTACAGGTCGATTTAGAAGACCTTTATGCTGAGGTCTTAGCGATATGGGCGACATGGTAGGCCTGCGTGGAATTGGCGAGTATTGGGATGGAGGGGGTGGCGAAGGGACAGGGGCTATCAGGACGGAGGGACAGGTGGCTATCGGGACGAAGGGCCAGGCGGCTCAGGGAAGACTTCGGCGATACTGTTAATTATTGACTACCCTCAGTCGGTTAGGAATGCAAGGTTCTCGACATCTCCAATTACTTCCCTCAACTTCGTGAAAAATCAACGCATTGACAAATCATTTGCTCCGTCAACTATGCCGAATGCAAGAGGGTAAATCTGGATGTTAGCATCTTAACATGTTGCAATAATCAACTTGCCCCCGTATCTCATCTTGAGGGTTGTATCGTCGACTAGGATTAAGGGTCGCATTGCGTTTCGAAATTCTCGAACGCATTGTCCAAAGACCATAAAAAAATACTTGAAGCGATTCTCGTCATCCTTCTCAAAAAAAATACCGATCCATTATTAATTCTTCCCATGTTATAGCAAAACCTGACCAATTAAATAAACAATAATCATAATTTAAATAATTAAATAAATAATATTAAAAAATTAAAAAATTAACAGTTGAATTAAATAATTAACTACACATTAGATAAAGAATCGATAAATAATTAAATAAACAATTGAAATTAATGATTGAATTAGTTAGATAACTATTAAATAAACATCTAAACAAAGAAATACTTGGCCAATTTATCGGTCGAACCCATTAAGTCCTCCAACCCGCATTCTTTGGCCTTCCAAGCCTTCTGATAACTCATGACCACTCCGTACTCTCGACAAACGTCATTAATAATGTCCGAAGATCTGTAGATTGTTCGTGGATCTTGAAACTTTTGCATTACTTCTCGACCAGTGAATCATGATCGAGCTTCGTACAATCATTTCGACGAATACCCATTTCGCACGTATGTTCCCATGCATACTTATGAACCACAAAAAACTCATTCGTGTTTATTTTCGTTGCTCGCAAACACTAAAGGCAACTGTCGTCAATGCAGACAATTTTGTAAGTCGATTTGTTTGATTTTTTTCACTTTAAACTCAAAATTGTGTTTCAAAGCAATCCGATGAACAACTTCTTGCAAATCTTTCTCCGTGTCAAACAGTTGCTCGACATACAAATCATCATCATCAGGGACTATACGCAAACAATTAGAGGACCGTGCACTCGGTCCAGCATGTGAGCTCCCACTAGACTCATGTCTCAAACGGGATAAAGTAATCAAATTCTCATTTGTAAAGTTATTATCTCTTTCGTTGTCTTGAACTACTGAGGAAATTCTGTGTGTAACAGTGAGATCGTGATGAGGAGCAACTGTCTCTCGAATAACTACAACATCATCACGCACTATTTCCATTGTATCCCAAAACTCATTCACATTACGATCCCCATCATCGAAATCTTCGTGTTCACTCTCGGGGACATTCTTCTTCATCAAAGTTACGCAAATAGGAATCGCACGTTTCTAGTTCATTTCAATTAAAACCTTCATTTCAATTTCAGAAGTAACCATTATAGGTGGAATTGAAATAGATGTATGCTCGCCCATTAGAAATCCCAATTCCATGGCGTACTCAGAAGGATCGACTTTCAGCAAATTCTGTATCTCATTGTACATTTCTGCATATGATGTACTTGATGTTATTACAATTGCAGTACAATCATGTCTTTCACTCGTCCATTTCCATACCCATCGATCATTTTTATTATTTTCAAATTCACCAAAATAACAAATCGGGACAACAGCTGATCCCATATCTGCAGTATGAAACATCATTTATTAAAAAAATTGTAATTACGAGAATAAAATGACAAAAAAAATATGACACAAAAAAGGGGCCCATGTTCGGGCCGGATTAAACATTCGGCCAGGACAGCATCCGGCCCGGGTGTCCTGGCCGGCTATCTTCTACATTTTGCATTTGAACAGATGAATTTTTTTTCCTCGTTTTTGCTAAAAAAAATTATACATCCGTTTAAGACTATAATAATTTATTTTTTTAAAATCATACGTTGAAATAAGATTTAATTATTCAAACAATGTACTAATTTAACTAAAATGAAATTAAACATACGTATTTATACTTACCAATTTCAAGTGCCGACTGTGAGTAACATTTTTTTGTTGAGCCTTTGATAATTTTTTGAGATTTTAATGTTCAAGCTGATGGAAGAGGAAATTTCTTTTTAATTATGTTGGAGAATCTGATAAGAAAAGTAATTTCGTTATGAAATTTAAGTGGGATTATTTGGATTTATTAATTTTTTAAAAAGAGTATTATTGTCTTTTGAGCAAATGATATGTTTTTGTAATTACAACACATAATAAGGGCAAAAATGATATTTACTCTTCAAAAGGCTCTTTTGGTGAATGACAAAAAAAAATTTGGTTAATGTAAAAAATTGGTATTTTGACTGGGTGGTTCTTAAAAGTACCCCTAAGAAATAACGGGTTATGGGCTGAAGTTTTGGGCCAAGATAGGGTTACCCCAATATTTAGACGGGCTCAATTATTGGCCCATCGCAAATGTTCTGCCCCGTCTTAGCCCATAAATGGAAATAGCCCACGAAAGCCTCTTCTCTATCAAGATTTTGGGGAAATTCAGTAGAATCAAAGCTCAAGATTTTAACGATTAAGAATTATTTTTGTTAAAAATCTCTCACTTTTTATCATTCATCGACGGTTTTAGCAATATATTTAATGGTAAAGATGGATTGGACTTGGCGTTTATCAGACCGTGTGCGCTAGAGGCATCTGCAGCTGTCGAATTAATTGGTGCTGAAATTTTTTGTTGTTTAGTTTATCAAGATTTTGCGGGAAAATGTGTTTAACTGTGTGTGTTTAATCAAAGGGTCTACTTGATTCACTATCTTCAAGATCAAATCGTAGTCTCATGGTGTCCCTTGTATTTCTTTACCTAAATAGAATCCACCACCATCACATAGCACCCATAACGCTTCTCAATGGCCTTTTCTCCATTCAATTCTGTCACTCTTGCTCCACGCTCACACCCTTCAGCCACGCCCCCACCATTCCATCTTCAGTTGTTGAAAAGGTCTGTTCTTTGGTCTGTGAATCATACTACAATCGACAGCAGAAAACTATATATTTCAATCCGACACTTCCTGTAATAAATTTGCCTATAAATTCAGAGTTCTTGACGCCGGAACAGGCCATAACTGTGGTTGCCTCATTGGCTGATGAGGCCGGCACCATTGTTGCCTTGAGTTTCTTTTATTGGGCAATCGGGTTCCCGAAATTCAGGCACTTTATGAGGTTCTACATAGTTGCGGCCATGTGCTTTATTAAAAATGGCAACTTCGACAGAACCCATGAAGTATTGCATTGTATGTTGCGAAATTTTGGGGAGATTGGGATGTTAAAGGAGGCTGTCAACATGGTTCTTGAAATGCAGAGTCAAGGAATGGTTTTGAGTGCTTACACTTTGAATTGCGTGCTGAGCATTGTGAATGAGATGGGTTGTCTTGAGATGGCTGAGAATGTGTTTCATGAAATGTGTGAGAGGGGTGTTTGTCCTGATGCTTTATGTTTTAAGTCCATGGTTGTGGCTTACTGTAGATTGGGCAGAGTTTCTGATGCTGATAGTTGGTTGACAGAGATGTTGACTCGAGGCTTTCTTGTGGACAATGCAACATGTAGTTTGATTATCGATATGTTCTGCAAAAATGGTTGTGAGAACAGAGCATTATGGATCTTTAATAAGATGGTTGATATTGGCTTGACTCCCAATGTGATTAATTATACTTGTCTGATTGATGGGGTGTGCAAGAGGGGAAGTATCAAGCAAGCATTCGAATTGTTGGAGGAGATGGTTAGGAAAGGTTTGAAACCTAATGTATATACCCATACGGCTTTGATAGATGGTCTTTGTAAGAAGGGATGGACTGATAAGGCCTTTAGGCTTTTCTTGAAACTTGTTAGGAGTGACAATTACAAACCCAATGTGCAAACTTATACGGCAATGATCACCGGATACTGCAAAGAGAAAAAGTTGAATCGGGCAGAGATGTTGTTGAGCAAAATGCAAGAACAAGGATTGGTTCCTAATACGAACACCTATGCTATCCTCATTGATGGGCACTGTAAGGTGGGTAATTTCGATCGGGCATATGGTATGATGGACACAATGAGTACAAATGGTTTAACACCAAATATTTTTACATATAACGCAATTGTTGATGGTCTCTTTAAGAGAGGAAGGGCCAATGAGGCTTATAAGTTGCTGAAAAAGGGATGTAGAAATGGACTGTGTGCTGATAAAATTACATATACCATTCTCATATCTGAGAGCTGCAAGCAGGAGGATACTATGCGAGCTTTAGCACTTCTTAATAAGATGGTAAAAGCTGGGATCACTCCTGACATGCATACTTATACGACTTTGATTGCAGCACTTTCCAATCAAAGAAGAATGAGGGAGTGTGAGAAAATTTTTGAGGATGCTTCAAATATTGGCCTGGTTCCAACCACTCAAACTTACACAGCCATGATATGTGGGTACTGTCGAGATAAAAACACAAGCATGGCCATGAAAGTTTTACAGAAGATGGTTGAATGTGGTTGTGCACCTGATAGTTTTACTTACGGTGCTTTGATAAGTGGACTCTGCAGGGAATCCAAGTTGGATGAGGCCAGAAGACTTTATGAAGAAATGATAGACAAAGGACTTGCCCCATGTGAAGTTACTCGTCTGACAATAGCTTACGAGTATTGCAAGAAGGATGAATGTTCTACAGCCATCGTCCTATTAGAAAGATTAGAGAAAAAGCTATGGATTCGCACAGTCTGCACCTTAATTAGAAAGCTTTCTTGTGAAAAGAAAGTAGGTATGGCTGCTCTGTTTCTCGATAAATTATTAGATAAGGACAAGAATGTGGATCGGGTAACTCTTGCAGCATTCATGACTGCGTGTTATGACAGTAATAACTATGCTCTTATTTCTGATATCTCTGAGAGGACGATGATGAAAACAGGTTAGCTTTTGTTTATTCAAAGCATGATTTTTATTCCTTTTACCTATTTATGGTGCTGATTAGCTAGTTATTCATTTTTCCTGAGTGAGTAAATTGATCGTTTCCTGTTCCTTCTCCATTGCGGTGATTTTGGCATCATTACATTTTTTGAGAGACTCATGGGGGAGCCGTGGATTCTATTAAGCTGTTCATTATCGTATTTGTTACAGGTGGCTTGATTGAAGAGTGAAGAAGTAATTTTGACCTGCAATTTAGAGCAGTGACTGGTGATTTGGTTTGTTCTTAGAGCAAGAACTGGTGTCCTGCTAAAAGAGATGTCCTTATATCCCGTGGAGATGAAACGGTACTGCATGTTCAATTGGAAACTTCTATGGAAGACCAGGAATCCGCTCACGCTCAAACTTTGCCAGGTGAATTTACACAAAAAGGTTTTTCCTTTTTATTGATTGGTATATATACAGAGTGAGGAGAATAGAGCTTCAATGAGGCCCAACTTATTCTTGCACCGTGTTCTTTGGTTTTAGAACTTTGCAACATTTGTATTCTTGCCTGATTGTAAGTATTAGATATTAGGAAAGTCTACAAGACCTAATAAATCTATGGTCTTTCACTGACCAGTTGCTTGGCTTCAGATAAGTTCACCGGGTTATCCAGAGTAGAAAGAATGTGCTTTAAGCATAGAATTGATGAACAAATGTACTCTACATGGACTATTTTTGTGGACTCTTGCTTTCAAGCTGCATTATATTTGTAACTGTTTTAATGAACTAGTTTACAAATGACCTGCATGAAATGAACTAGTTTACAAATGACCTGCATGATGGAACTGCTATTAACTAAGACCTCCCATGTCTCTCTCTGAGTGTGCACGTATGGATTTAACCCGACAAATAACTAGTGAATTTACGCACATTTTTTTGTAAGATTGTCATATGATTTTTGAATGTTAAATTTCAGACGAAGCATATAGATGCATCATGAAGTGAGCAAGATCCTCAGTCGACAAGATAGATACACAATCATGGCTATGAAAGTTTTCCAGACGATGGGTGAATATGGCTGTGCACCTGATTGTCTTATGATTCTTGGATAGGTGAACTCTACAGTGGAATCCAAGTTGGATGATGCTTGAAGACTTCACAAATGATGGACAAAGGACTTGTCCAATGTTAAGTTACTAGGCTGACAATATAGCTTAAGAGTATTTCAAGAAGGATGAATTTTCTATGGCCATTATCCTCCTGGCAAGATTAAGAGAAGCTATGGGTTCTCTCAAGTTCTTAAGTAGAAATGGCTGCGCTGTTCCTCGAGAAATTGGATAAGAATCGGAATATGGAGCAGCTCACTCTTGAAGCATCCATGACTGCATGTAATTTTACCTTAATAACCATGCTCTTATTTCTGATGTCTAATGGGACAACGATGATATTGGATTAGCCTCCCTTTTTCTTTTCTATTTTTGGATGATTCGATTTTTAACCACTAGATAAATTGAACGCATAATTTTATTTTGAACTATTTATGGTCCTGTACTAGCTTATTTTACTATTCATGAGTGACTAAAGAGCATGTTTGGTACAGCTTAAAATTCAATTAAAATCAATTTTTTTACCTTTATTTCAATATTTTAGCCGTCATTTTTGAATTCTTATTTCACAGGTAACACTCATTTTAGCAACCGAATTTTCTTCTTTCTTTTGCTGGTAAACTTCTTGGGAATTTTCGATTATTAACAATTAGGATCTTGAACTGAAAATACCATTTTCTTACTAAAAAACTACGATTTTCCGAATAAATTGGATTTGAGAGTAGAAATTATGATCGGTAAGATAAAAGAGAGGGAAGCCTTGGGATTTTCTTCTCCTCTCTTCCACCGGTAAGTGTTGATGGGATTTGCGTATTAATGTTAAATACTGATAATAATAAGAGTATAAAACAAACGGAAAAGGGAAGTATTTCAGAGTATAAAAAACTATGGGGACTAAGATTGGAAATTCAAAACGGGTGCTGGGTGTAGTTTCCACATTAAGGGCCCGTTTGAGCCACATTTTTTTCGAAAAAAATACATTCTTTAATAGTGATTTAACATCATTTCAACCACACATTCTTCAATAAAATAATATTACACACAAATCCAAAGCTTTTCCTTATTTCTTAACCACACATTTTCCATCAATACACTATTCAAAAATACATTTTCATTCTAATAATGCCACTCAAAGAAGGGCTAAATTTAAACGTTCTGCAAGAAATGCCCCAATACAGTATAGCCATAGATACATGGCAATGAAGAGGTAAAACTGACGCTATTTACAACGGATATTCGTAGACCACGTTCCAATAGAATACATATATGATAATACGTGACTCTATAAATATACAGAGAACAACCACAACACTAACCAATACATGAAGGTTGCCTATTTTTCCATGACCGTTACCATAGTCCAACGATGGTGAAGGTTCTTTATGCACCTGCCGAGATAGACATGCCCTTTAACCCAACGTGCTTCTTTCCATTGCGTTGGGGATGAACAGTAATAGTGGCACGGGCCTCTTCCTGCAAGGATTTATCACCTCCAACGCGAGAGACGGAAATTGAACCCACCAATGGCTTTTTCTCAGCAACACTGTCTTGTTCTTGTTCTTGGTTTTCCCCAATAATTTCCCAATCCTCTTTCACCGAAGTTACTTGCAAGCCGCTGCTTGCTTTGTGACTTTCAATTTCAAACAAGGTAGGTAGAACTACAAAATCGTTAACTGGATTGTAGTAAGGATCATGGTCTGCCATCAACCAGTGCTTGAGAATTCTGAACACATGACGATCACAAAGAATTCCACGGTGATCCCCAGGGACTCCAACCCTTGCTTCTGCTTGAAGCCCGTCTGCCTGTAAAAGGGTCAATAGAGAAAACAAGGTAAATGATGGTTCAGTTTCAAAAAAAAGAAAATGATTTAACGTTACTTGTAGGTAGGAAGGAAAGGGAATAGTGTATGAAATTTAAAGACAATTTGGTCCATTCAGAACAAACAAACTGGATTATAGTTTGTATAACAGTTGACATATTTCCCTAGTGTACATGATTCCCCATCATACCCACATAAAAGACGAATTAAAATTCAATCATAGTTGTAGATATAAGATTTGGCACCTGTTTGGTAGAAATTAAAATCCAAATTTTAATCTAAGTTGAAGTAAACAATTAATTTTAATCACACAATTTATGGAACTCACACAACTTTTCAACCACACATTCACCAACTTTAATCAAAATTTACTAAAAATCTGATTTTAATTCCCACCAAACAGAGGCTTGATATGTGATAAAGAGACAAAATAGGAAAATACCTCAAATGTCCTGTCATAGCACTAAACTGTAAACAAGTGAGTTCTCAAACTGGAGCTATAAATATTATTGGTCACAACATTACACATAAAAGTGAGTTTTCCAAAATAAGCTAAAATAGCAACCGCATCCAGATAAAATTATACTTTGAACTCGAAAATTTATGCAACAAATTTGAAACAAAGTACCTTAGCAGATTCCATTGGAACAGTTCCATCACCGTCAACATTTATGTACTTTGCCTGACGTGCAAAAACAGTATTGTAGAACAGTTCTTACAAAAGTTTCAAATGTAACGAGCTTATCATGCAATACGTAAAACAAATACTAAATGGTAAAACAGAAACCCAGTTAAAGATGATTTAAAAAATAAAAAATAAATAAAAAAATAAAAAAGGGAAAAGAAAAAAAAGAACAAAGTTCTGAAGAAATGTCTCTCTTTATACATATTTTAAGGTTCATTTAATAGCTGTACCATGAGAGCAGGTAACTGTTGCAGGTCAGATACAGGTGCATCCTCACTTCCATAACTGCAAAAGAGTATTAGCATTTCATAAGAGTTCACTAATCAATATGTTTTAAATGTCATAATATATTGCAGAATTACAGTCAACTCATGATCATAAACTTAAGGCTAAAGCAGTACCAAACACTATGGGGTGTTTCGTTATTTGTCCCATAAATATTGTAGAACTTAACACGATTGGGAACCTTAGCGCAGCTCAACAACTTTCGTGTTTCATTAGCCCACTTCAAAACCTCCAAGTTGAATGGTAAAGAAATATCAGTACCATCATAATTAACCTGCAAGTACACCACTTACTATGTAAGGCTACTTGGAAACAAGTATCATAACAATAGTTAGTAATGCATTAGAAAATCACGTGTCAACATGTCAAGTCTAAAACAGATTGAAAATTAGTCAAAAGTATTTGGTTGTACTTCAGTTTTCAACTTCTTCCTAAACTAAGAAAATCCCGGAATTTATATCCAACATTTTGATTACCATTATTCATCGAGATAAGGCAAACTAATAATGACATTCTGATACTCCATAAGCTCAACACAAAATGTGGTCTCATTAAGAAATTTACAAAATTCACAAAAAGCAACCAAAAAAATCAAAAATCTTATGCACGCCAAGGATTCTATAATACCCTATAAATCAAGGTTCAACTGGTTTTTATTTATCTATATTTGGAATAACTTGCGATCACAGCTCACAGCTCACCTTGTTGCTTGAAAGAGCCTCCATAAATATTGATACCGCTTCTATTGGGGGATAAGACTCTAGCATGGTGGTGGAATTTCCATCACTATCAGACATCTTCCTCCAGATTTCCAGAAGTGGAATGTGTTCCCAAGGGAAATCTAGACAGGCCATCAATTCATATATTGATGGGCACTCAATCAACTGGAAAGAGATTAGTAAAGAAAAATGTGAGTGTGTGACAGATAAATAAAGTGAAGATGATTTCTAATCAATACAAAGCCATTTTAACTTTAGTTACAAAATACAACACAACTTTAGCCAGGAAAATAACATAGTTTCAGGTAACTGGATTATAAAACACCTTGATAGTTTTGCGACTCATAATTTTCATGTACAAACAGGTAGACAACATAGTTTTTAAATGAGATTAGAAGTACGTAAAAAACTAAACAACTCAAGAAAGTATAGCTTATGATGAAGATGCTTATCTGAAGACATCTGCTTCTGCCAAGTGAGGGGGGATGGTGGTTTTAACAAACTCTAAGATCTTTGATCAGTAACAGAAGAGGAAGGGGAGGAGAGAGAGAGAGAGAGAGAGAGAGAGATCCCTGCAAACAGGAGATCTCTGTGAGCAGAAATCATCTTCATACCATCTGGTGCATGCTCCATTTTGAAATGAAAAAATTCTGTTTCCATCCTTCCACAAATGATGCTCCATTCAAAAGTGTAGAGGTAATATATCCAGGAGCACCTATTAAAATAACAATGATACCACTATTTTTATAAGTCATTCATCAAAAGTTTCAATAAGAATAGATACAATGAAGCCAAACACCACACGGATATGGGTCTTGGTTCCAGTTAAGCAAGCTTACAGAAAAAGGTTGATACAATGAATTAAATGAAGTATAGATAGGGATAGTGCAACTGATACTCTATCCAATAATTTTAGTGAATTACAAGAAAATCCACTTTTTATGCATTGTTAAACCATGATATTTCCATTTTTGACCCTTCGTTTAGTTCAGATTTTTTAACACATAATAAAATAATGATAACTTATGTTAGAACTGTTAACTTTACAGCTGGCGTTACAGTAAGTATGATAATTAGAGTTTGTCTTTTTGAAGTAAAGCTTGTTTTTCTTTCATCTTGGAACATTGCAACCCGGTAAGTGTGGCATCAACTAAGGGATGGTGGGACTACAATAAATGTGTAAGTACAATTATAGGAATCATCCGAGGAAATATAACTTGAATAGACAGTGATTACAATATTAATCAATATAAATACACTCTTTTAATTTCAAGTTAGAGTTCTTGGGAATTTTTTTATCCTGATGATCAAACATGATAAAATTAGACTTTTATCATCTTTCTGTACAGAAGGATTTCTTTACACTTCTCTCGGTTCAATGGTAAACATGATAACTGCATGCACATTTGCTATATATCCTACAACTAAAAAGATGCCTTATTCAAAGATTTCCAGAGTGGATAAAAGGAGGAAATATACTTTGCATGCCAATAATATACTGTTAAAACAGAAACAGATAATGAGAAGCATTTTATAAAATGTCCATAGCTTGCTTTTGACTATATACTGATATTGGAAAAATAAGAGCTTTTTAGGCTGTTTGAACAAAGTCACACATTTCTAGTTATTTGGCAAACTTGGTTAGATAAAAATGATCAACTCTAATGTTTACAAAGACCTAAGTCTAGATGCCAAAATTGCCTGCAGCAAAACCCCAAGCAACGGTAGATTGAGCAACAATGCAACATACCGCGGAATGGTGCAGCTATTGCAATCCAATTCTTCACGTACTTCTCAAAAATCTGCAGAAAAATGATTCTATCTTAAGATTTGAGTTTCCAAAAAGAAAAAAAAAAAATGAAATGAAATGAAATGGAAGTTTATACTAGTCGGAGAACACTAGAAGTCTAGATGGAAATAGGAGGAGACAAAAGGTTAAGGGAACAGAATTAAAATAAGCTGAAGAGTTGAAGTATTACATCACTATGCAGGCCCATAAAACATTTAACAAGAAGACCACCCATGGAATGACTTATGATTGTAATTTTTCTTCCCCCAGATGCAGTATACACTGACTCAAGCTTCGCTGCTAGGCCCTCCATTGTTCCTTGAAACCTGAAATGCAGAAATATATGTCTAAAAATATAAAAATGAGCAAATAATCGGATACCCCCAGCAGGAACATGCATATTGTACAGGCGAAGGTATAACAGGAACAGAAATTGAAACAAAAGCTCATGCTTTTTTGTCAGGCATATCAAATCCTATATTTCTTACCTATCCGATAATACAAAATTGTGAAGTTGAAGTTCCAATCATATGTTACAGATTAACTTTGATCTACAATTACTAGGGCAGATTCTACACCTCTTCTCATAAAGAATACTTCAATAATACTACGAAANAAAGTTACCGTTTTCCCTGTTATACACACAAAAAAGTATGTCCGATCTTAAAAGAGTTGGACAATATTATACGAAATCCAAAATGATCCCATGATCACAAAAAGGAACCTACATAATAGAAGCCTAAAAGAAAGGAGATGAAATTAAAACATTCACAAAAAATTTAAGAGTAACAAATTTGGAATACCTCCAGCAATTATAATACCTTGTAACTGAAATTTGTGAACTTTTCTTTTCACATACCACATAAAAGACCGCGCACTTATTATAGCTTTTAAGTAGAATCAATAAGAACTTTTTGAAGTTAAAAACTTTTCAATTATATAAATATTGGGAAATTAATTAATTTGCCACATGGGCCGACGTATGTAATTAATTGTGTATAAAAGTTATTTTAAAGTTAAGTCCAAAATTAAGTTATCTAATAAAAAATTATGCAATTCGGCTTAGGGCATCTAAATAAAATGTCGGCCGAATTCTATGCATAGAGACAGGATTCATTTAGAATTGTATTTCATGATGGGCAAAATACATTTGAAAAATATATATATGGTGATGGTTCTCAATTCATATGAAACTTCTCGTTCTTTGTATCATCCCATCAACACAAAAAATCAAAGAGAATGCATATTGAAGAGTAAGATCCAAAAATCCACAATCAAGAACAGGCTATCTACAATCAAGAATGAATATTATGGATCAAGAAGCAAAATTCAAGATTGAAAGAAACTAATCAAGAAGGAATTCCAAGTTGATTTTCAAGATTCAAAATCCGGAATCAAGGTCCAATAATATATATCATTCCCAAAGAATTAAGGTATGTTCCGCATTATTAATTTTCTTTGAGATTTATGGCAATAAAGTAATTAGCTTTTCATGTTATTTAAAGTTTAAAAGTTTCGTCACGATTAAAAAAAGAAAAGAAAAGCAAAGAAATTTAAACAATCCCCTTTTTTCTGAACATAAATTAAGACTTCCAAGGGAGAAAGCTATTGAAAACATAAATCGCACGAAAAATTCTTAACTGAAAAAAATAAAAATAAAAATAAAAATAAAAGACTCAGCATTATAATTATTCTTCAAATTCGACCTTTTTGACAAAATGAACCGAACTACCCAAAAACTCAATAATATTTAAATAATCATCTCCATCAGCTACTTGAATTGAGACGAAGCTTTTCACCTACAAGACTAAGCTCCCCTCTCTACCCAAAATAAACTACAAACCCGACAAAGAAATCGATAATACTTTCCAACTAGTAACCAAAACCAACACAAAAAAATAGACAGTATAGATCACATGATATACGGAAAAATCAGAAAATTGACCTGTAGTAGGGTCGAAGATAGACCAAAGCTTGGTACAAAACTCGTGGTCAGCCCCAAGGATCCGGACCCAAACCCGCTCCTCTTTACCTGTTTTCTCATCGACGGCATTAAGGATAGAACCGGCGATACCAGGTACCAAGAGGACCGGGTCTAGCGTCGGGTCCACGTAAGCCTGCTCCTGGCTGTTCTTGCCGATCAGCTTCAGCAACTGCTCCACTGACTTCACTATATCCTCCAACAACACTGCCATCTATATATGTGTGCGAGTTTTTGTATTTTTCCTCTCCCAATTATACAATCAAACCGTAGCTCATAAAATTAAACGTATTTTTATAATCGTTATACGATTATGCAGGTTTTCATATTCGTTTTTTTTGGGGGGGGTGGGGTGGGGGTTATTGATAGTTTACATACAAAGCGGAGTTTATTGAGAAATACTTCCGCTGCGGTGATGGGGTGGAGGTGAGTGATGACGGAGAGAAGCCGTGAAGATAACGGAAGTGAGGAGGAAAAAGATAAGGAAATGATTGGTAGTATTCGTATACGTTTTTGCCAGTCAAATAAAAAAAATAGGGATAATTGCAGTTGAGGCCCCAAACCTTTCAAATAGTGACAAATTTTCCCCTAATCTTTCAATCTTTACAACCGTCACCCCCAATGAAGCACATGGCCACAGCTATGGCGGTGGTGGTCGATAGCGGTATGTGTGGCGGTGGCAAATTTCTAATTTCGGATTGAGGAGGTGGGGTGGGGGTTGGGAGTCCATGAAGATGATAGTTTTTCCTTTTTTTTTTTCCTTTTTTTTTTTTTTTTTTTTTTGTTTTTTTTTTTTTTTTTTTTTTTCTTTTTTTTTTTTTTTTTTTTTTGGGTTTTTGCTTTAAGATTTTAATTATTTTATGGAAAAAAATATTAAATTAATATTTTATCCATTTAAAAATTGATTAAAGTGGGTCAAAATTAATTGATTAAAGTGTGCTTTAAAGGTTGGCAACGGTTCGATTAAGAATTGATTCGGCCAAAATCATCACTGAACCACCATAAGTTGGTTCAGTCCAACTCGATTCGTATCTCGGTTCAGCTCATATCAGAAGGTTAATAACCACGAAAATAAATTATTTTTTATAAATCCAACTGTCAAATTAGAAAAAATAAAAAATGATTTATGAAAAAAAAATCAATGAAAACAAAAACACAATACTAAGTCAATTTAGCAAACAATATCCCAAATGAAAATTCAAATAATATCTTAATTCCCAAATGCAAAATCTGAACATAGCAAATAATATTATCAACATAACAATACTAAATAATATCATTGTCCATTGTGCATCGAACTTGAGGCACCGCAATGGGTGATGTTGGTAATTGCGGCGACGATTGACTGCAAAGCAAAATTTGGAGGTTCGTTGCTAACGGTGGGAGATCTGTCTCTGTTTTCTTCACGAAGTGAATGAGAAGAATGGTTTGGGAACGGTTATTGCTGGTGGAGGCGTTAGTAGTCATCGTAGTGACGAAAATGCGATGATTTAGATATGTATTGTATCGAATCCGTTGATTCCAATTTTCATATATGTTTAATATTTGTGTAGTGGGGTGTATGGTTATTGAGTTAGGTTACTTGGACTTATTAGATCGATAATGGGGCAGAATTTTGGACTGGACAAAATCATATAAAGAATAATAAAAAGTCCAATTGTCCAATTATTTTTTTAACCAGTAATCGGTTCGGGGCGCTAGGGGAAGGCGTAAATACCATACCCGCCCCACCCCGAATCAAAGCATTAAAATCAAATACTATATCCACCCCATCACGCCGATTTTTTTAGTCCCATTTGGTTTAATTAATTGCGATTTTTGATTTTGACAGTTCGAATTATTATCCTTAATTTGAAAACCATCTATTGGGGCATCAATTGTTACGATTTGAAAGGTTAGGATTGACGGCTGCATGATTGAAAAGTTAGGAAAATTCTGCCATTGTTTGAAAGGTTTGGGGCTCAGTTGCAATTATCCCTAAAAAATATTCACAAGAAAACGCATTTTACGTAATTTATACTCAAGTAAACGCGGGTTTTGATTCGTTGAAACGTATTATTTGGACCAATCATTTGAAACTCGAAAGGCTTGTCAAATGCGCTTAGATGACTGCTTGAGATGCAATGCCGGCTGGAGCGCATCAGCCCATTGAAATACAGTGAAAACATATGGGCTTCAGAATCCATTTTGGGCCAGTATTTAACAAGTATTGGTTGGAGCGTGGGCCTCAGAGGTCTGATTATGAGCCCCGTTTGGTGGAAACTTTTTTTTAAAAATGTTTTGAACAGTGAATTTTTTGAGAATGTGCTATTAAAAAGTAGGGAAAAAAACTTTGGATATAAAAATATTTTATTAAATGAATGTGTGGTTATAATTGAAAATGAGTTTTAGAAAAAAGAGTTTTAAAAAAATGAAAGACAAATAGGACTTAATTTGATAATCTCTTTCAATTTTTTTAGAGTGAGTTTCGAAAAATAAATTATAATCATTTTCTAAACAATGTCTCGATGAATGTTACATGTAGACTTTCTCTCTTCATCGTGCTATTATTGATCGTCAATCTGAATCTTGTATTTCTTAAGCCGATTGATGATAATTTCGTCTTCCTTAGGATTGCCCCAACCATTTGCGACAAGATCATAGACACACATCAAATCAACTAAAAAACGATTATCTTAGCAATGATCTTTACTGTCCTTTTAAATGAATTGAGATACGCTCAGCATCGAAATCCATAGTGCAGAATTGGTTGAGTACGCTTGCTTAAGAAAATAGTATTTAAACTTTGATTTCTTTAAGTACAAGGCTAAACCATGTGATCCTATTCATTAATGAAATTATTTAGAATTAATCCCTGAGTACAGGGATTAATTTCACAGGGGCATGCCAAGTGCCTCACTGCAGTAGGCGGGCCCCACATGAAATAAAAAAATTGTGGCGACCCCACTTTGTTAATGTATCCTGTCAAGGACTTGTGAAATAGTTCCATGAACTTCAAGCAAAGTTCAATTATTTGTCACATATTAAAAGATTTTGGCCCTTCCCTCCCATTGGGGGGTTCGTGTGTGTGTGGAATTGCGTTATTGATCCTAACCTTTGAAAAGAAATAAGATGAACTTTCATTATAATTTCACAATTAGTCTTCAAAAATGAAAATAATCTAAACTTTTATCAATTTGTTATGAGCAAAACTTAATTTTATAAAGTTCAACATTCATGCTCTTTCTTTTATCGAAAACTAAAGCACTAACAAGCAAATTGTATATATTCCAAGTGTGCCAGAGAGTCGAGTGAGAATCAATCAATTGAACTGCATGCTTAATGTGGTCTATGATCATATAGTTCAATCCTTTGTTTCTTTTCTTGAATTTTCAATAAAATCTACAAAAATTCATTAGCAATGCCAACAAAAGCTACATGAGCTAATAGAATTAATATCTCAATAATCGTATCAATAAAAAATTTATACTAAGCACCGTGTGAATTGACTCATTCAGTTTTGCAATGCATTCATGTTTATGAAAATCTTTTCGACTTAAAATACTGAAAGTGAACGATTCGTTAATAAGTAGTACAATTTTTGAGTTCAAGTATCGTTCCCACAGAGAATGTACTAGCTCAACTTGGAATTTATTTAATCTTAACTAAAACAATTGAAATTTATGATTTTTTTATAAATTAAATAATCTACTTATGAATGCAAGATTTAACTTAACTAAAATAAATGTAAAATTATAATTAAATGCAAGATTGCAAATGTAAGATTATAATTAAATGCAAATTTTAAAAAAATATGGTGACTACTAGGATCTCAAATCCCCTTATATCAATCCCCTTTAACCCTGTACCTCATGAATTTGACAACATAATTCAATTATGAAGATCAATATTCCTAATTTGTTTAATACTATATCTCGAGTAGACTTAAATATATTTTTACATTTGATTCGACTTCATTTCTATGATGGATGCAAACATATAAAAATGCATTTAAAGATTTATGAATATTTAAAGATCACGTAAAGTATTTGGATATATTTTTAATCCCTTAGTGGACTTTGCGACAATTATGACTATGTCTAACTTATTTTCAATCTCTTGTAAGTAAAATAAGTCACAAGATTCATGCAATTAATGATCAAATAATTGTAAAAAAAGTAAATCTCGTTATAATTATTCAAAATTAAAAACGTGCTCTAATGTCAAAAGCAAGATTCATAATGCAATGTTCGTCGAAAACCTAGTATAAAATTTAATTTAACCTAACATATTGTCGGAATTAAACAAATAAAGTTTGAACAACATCACTGAAAAATTGACCGAACCTGATTAATATTCCTGCACAATTATTGATGAATTCTTCCACAAAAATTTGGAATGACTTTTCTTTGCTGCTGCGTGTCCAATTGAGAGTCCCCTTTGGTTTTCATAATTTTCCAATATCCTCAACAGCAAGCAGCCCTTTTGCGCATCAACAAAAGACTCCAATTCCATTCCCATGCAATTGGTCTGGGCCAAAGTTAAATTTCACTGTAGCTCTTATTAAAATAACGAAAAATTCCATATTTAAGAGATTATAATCCATTTCAAAACTAAGAAACAATGTTTATTATTTTAAAAAATCAAATATTAATTAAAATTTATTTATGTAGTAATTGATTAAAAATATATTTTATTAATTAAATGTATTATGGTCATAATTACATACTCATACGTCACAACTTATTTCTCGGTTACATTAATTTGTTACAAATTATTTTTCGATTACAAATCATAAATTTTATAGGTCAGAACTTATTTTACGATAACAAATTATCAAATTAGTTTGTCACAATTTACCGTCATAAATACAAATTTAGTCACAATCACATATTTTTTTAGGTCACATATTATTTACTAGTTACAAATTAATAATTTATTGGTCACAAAGACTCTTCCCACCTGACTTCCACCAGCATAACACCCAACCACCATGAGCACCACGACCTCACCAGTATTACCACAACACCGCAAAACCACCACAACACTACGCCCATAGCACACCATCACTGCACATCGCACCCACGACACATCCCAACGCACACCACCTCCATCTACCACAACCTCCACCAAAAAAATTACAAACCTATCACTACAACCATCACACACTAACACTGCCTACACCACCTTCTCCTCAAAAAACACTACAAGACATGCCACAAAATCACCTCAAATCGTTGCGAAAGCACTGCAACCCGTTGCGAAAGCACCACAAACCGCTTAGCTTGGCCAACATGGGAACGCAAGAGTGGCAGCCCGAAACCTCGACTGTCTCTACAACGCCGCAAAAGCTGCAAGTGACACTATGATCTCGCCAGAGAAAAGTTTAGATCGTCGCTGCACGTGGAGACCTATAATTAGGCAAAATCACCAGAGTGCTGCAATACCATAGAACATTGAATGTCGTGATCTGTGACCAGGTAAGACCACTTGATCATTGCTGCCCGTAGAGGTGCAGTCGTGCCACAGAGGTGAGCCGTTACATTGTAATACACAGGGCTGCTCATCCACGCTCAAAGGTGTCGTGCTGCACCTACTCGAAGCGACGATTGGGCCTCATATGCCACGCCTCAACGTCGGATGTGCCAACTCGTCGGAGGTGGCGTGTTGCCGAAGAAGAGATAAGGGAAAGAGGAGGGAAACTATAAGAAAGAAGAAAGTACAAATGATTTATGGTCTCCCATCGACAGTATAGTAGCGAAGAGTCATTGTAACGACGACATATGTGGTGGTCTCCGATGAAAGTTTCTGGTGGTTAGGATAAAAGGATGAGAGAGAGAGAGAGAGAGAGAGTATGAAAATGATTAGGGTTTTGGATGGTGGTTGGTTGTGTGTGTGTGCGCGCACGCGCGCGAATTAATTTGATTTTGTAGTATAATTATTAATATTAAAATTTTGAATTAATATCTAATTTTTGAAACTAGATCTAGTTGGGTGTGATTTCCACTTAAAATAAAGTCCACTTCCCATTTCCATTCCGATTAGTTGATGGCCCATTAATTTTGTAGTTCTCCAAGTCAACCAATCTTTCAAATTAATGCAATTTAGTTATTGAGTTCATCAATTGAACAACCAATGTCCTCTTCAATTCAATTGAAGCCTTCCAATTTTCAAAGTGTTAAAATCTGATCTCCAACATTGCATTCAATAACCAATTAATCCTTTTTTTTTCTTTTCTAACTACTTCAAAACGAGTCCACGCCTGAAACAATATAACATTAATCCGAGTTAAGTAAAATTCAATAATTTAACGATATAAAAACTTAGTGCTATGGTCCAAATAAGTGCACAAAACGCACTTATCAATTCACAAGAATGAAACTCAAACATATTGAGTTATTAACACACTAAATTCCTATTTTTAAAATTTTGGAAGACCAACTTGACATTGGTCTAATAGAGATATACTAGAGTGATGGCAAATAGTGCAAGAGAGAGAACGGAAGGAAAAACCCAAAAGTAAAGACAGAGGAGTGTGCCATATATATATCCGGCCGTTTGGGCAGAGCAAATTGTTAGATGTTGTATTAATTAATTGAAGGTTGAACTTTAAATGTCGTAGACAGATATATAAAAGTATATTGCTGTATTAGGATACATACCAAAAAGGCAAAGGTAGATGGTAACAGGACATGGATCCAATGCCTTCTTAAAATTGCCAAATATTGAAAACAACTAGTTATTAGGCAGAAAGGACACCCCCCATGTGACGAACCAAGCATGCGCCGCTTATATTTTCTGTCCACTCCTTTTAATAATCATGCATTCTTAATCAATTTGGATATATATAGTACTGCTATTTATGTCTTCGCCAAATTAAATGGGCGAGACAAGCTTTACTTGACTATATTCTTCCTTTTAAAGTTCAAAATTAAGATTATTGTGACAAGAAAATGTTTGCACATAAATTAGATTTTTGTAATTGTCATGCCGGCTCTCCATGTGGAGCCCGGGTGGATGCTATGTAGGATCGTCCATCCAATTCTCCATCTCCATATCTGCATGGAGGATAGGGTTTAGATGAACCAATGCCAAGGTCGCCATCATCAATGAGAGCCTCACGGAGGCAACCATCTAACTCTGATCCTAAGCTCGCTGCCTCAAAGCCATGCCCGAAGGTACAAAATCAGTCTCAACAGTTCGCCTTTTGATGATGCAAATTAAGATCCCATTGGGTCAACTGTAACCAGCACCAACCTTTGATTCATTATGGAACCCATGGCCAAATGAGCAGGTGGTGAACGTAATACTTTAAGACAAGGTCGTAGGCTCGTTACCGTTGGGTGGTATTGTATTTATCTCACCCCAAAAGTTAGCTCAAAATGTGAGGTTTTCCCTCACACTTATAAATTGAATGCCAACCCTATCCACAACTGATGTGGGATAACCTCAATAATCTCCCCCTCACGCATCGGATTTTGCGGGAGATCAAAGCCATCTCTCTCTCTCACACAAAGGGGCCTGCGGAAGACCAAAGCCGTCTCCCCCTCACACAAAATGGTATCTTCATGACTGTTGTGCCAGATGCTTGTTGATAAATCGGGCTCTAATACTAATGTTAGGTGGTATTAGGTCTCTCTCACTTGAAAAGTTAACTCAAGAGGTGAGACTTTCCCTCATATTTATAAATAGAATGTTAACCACATCCACAATCGATATAGGGCAACCTCAACAGTTACACTAATCATGGTGGCAGTGGGTTCTCCACAAGATCTTGTCAAAAGAGACAAATATCTATTGACACTCTTGTACATTGGATTAAATAATAATTTCACATTCGTAAGACAATTGATCGAGAGGAACACTCGCAAGTGCCATATTTGACAGAAGATATATAATTAAAGATGGTACAATTATAGGGTAAGCGATCTGTCAACAAAGTTCGAACTTTCAGTCGAGTAGTTAAAAAGTTAGAATAGCTAGGATTCAAATCCCGTGCTTTGCAAAAACAAAGTGTATGTGCTATCTATAAACTCAATCAAAACTCCATTCATTAAATTTGTTTGATACCCCAATTCCGGTGTGTGACTTGAACGTCGAAGTTACGACGACCTTCCATTTTAACGATGTCTTAGGGTGTGACGTATAAGTAGAAGGAAACAAGATCTGTTAACAACTAGGTCATTTTGGAAGTGAACAATAGTAAAGTAAAGTGGTTTGTACGTACTTAAATTAATAGGGACCAATCAACTTTAATTAGTGACATTGTAATTGACAATTGTCGAGGCGGTGGTTAGTGCCTAGTGGTCCTATGTTGTTTACTTTAAAAAATAAAAATGAAAATGAATAATTGGTAGAGAGGAGATGAAGAAGGGTTTGGGAAGGAAGCCAGGAAGCAACAAGTCAACGTCGGTGGCTGTAAGAAAAGGCTAGAAATCCACCATTAAAACTCTCTCAAAATATACATATGACTAAGATGAGTGTAGAATCTCAAGGGATTTCCATGCATGGCTCTTCGTCTTCACAAATACAAAAACCCTATGAATATGTTAGTGCTTTTGTGTTTCAAACTGGGCTTAACCGGTTTTATGTATTTTGGTTTGAGAGGTTGAAGCTGCCAGCGTGATCTGGTTAGAAACAAATCTATATTGTTCTTTTCTTGTATTTGCACACTCATCTACCCAAAATCCAATCAAACCTCCACCGTTGATCCATGATTTTGAGTTATTGATTTTCTGGGATTTGATTTTCTACGATTTGGGTTCAATCAGGTCATCTAGCAGCTTCAATCACTCACCAACAATACTATAACTTTGCACTCAACATCTGATCATGGATTGGTCCCCCCTTGCATTTCTTGAATTCTTCAGCAGAGGTAATTTCTACTTTATCCTTTAATAATTATTCCACTTATTCAATTAAACCATGTATATGATTTGAACCTCAGTAGTAGTCTGGTATATAATCTTGAAATTCTTTTTGCAAATTGCCACATGCATACAAGAAGGGACTTGCTGATTTCAATTAAACCTGGATAAAAGTGGCACCAAAATGTGTATGATCCAAGGCAGCTGGCTAATTTCCTCCCATTATTTTCAGAAATTTAAACCCCCAACCTATTTCTTAATTTCAGTCTTTTCTTCCAAATAAATAAGCATATACTGGCTTGAGCTACTCGGGGCCTTTTAATATGACCATAGATCTTAACAAATATATATTTTCCATCTCTTTCAAGCTGAAGAAATCAAGACGGATATATAAGTTGTCTGCAAGTTCCGAAACACGAGAAAGGCGTGCTATTAGTCAATTATAAACATTAGATTAAGTTTATATATGCTGAATATTTACTGGTGGTGTAAATTCTGTCATCTTCACAAAATATATGATATCTATGTATAACCAGTGCAGTAAAAGTTAATCTCACATTTTACTGCAAGATTTTAGAAGTATGATTCTCACTGTGGTTCAAGCGTAACCGAAGGCACAGGTCATGATATTCTTTATCAAAATTTTCATCGTCGACGTGATGCAATGAAACTTATGGTTGACCGCCTAGCTAGAAGGAGATCATGTGGGGGATGTCAAGATCGAAGCACTGACCCAACGTGGTATGAATATAAATAAAGGAAGCTAGCAGCACGCACAAAGATGTGACATGAATATAACTATATCAGCTGTAGTATAGTAGTAATTTTTCTGATGGTTGACATTATATATCTCTTGTTATTATTGCACATGGATGCATTTAATTAAATTTACTTTAAATAATTTGCTGAAGTATATTGTCATTTCATGTTGATTATGCATCCATTTCTAGTTATATATATATTTTCTAATTTTTTACATCATTAATTTACATTAAGTAAGCGGCTTTATCTATTGAAATCTTCTCTTTTTATTAATCCTTCCGTCACAATTATATAGGCTTGTTTCGTTTTTCATACAGATTAAGAAATCTTCTTTATTGTTATTGGAAAACTAATTTTTGTCAAGATCTTTTCTAGTTTACCCCTATTTAATTTTTAATGTAGTGGTAAATTATTGTTGGAATTAATAAAGAATTTGAATGATTTAATTTAAAGAAAAAATGAGAGTTCTTCAATATTTTCAAGAAGTGGGAAATATGCATAATTGGATGATTTCAAGAAGTTGGCATATTAAGTGCAAAAAATTGAATAAGGATTTATTGGTAATAGAGCAAAACAAAATATTCTAAATTTGAAAACAAGCCTATATATTTGGGATAAATAAAAAAGGAAAATCAGCCTATATAATTAGGACGGAGGGAGGATGTGTTTGTTGATTTTGTGGTCATTCAAGAATTTCTCTAATGTCAAATTAATTAGGTGTTCCCCCATTTTCTTTGACTTTGACAAACTAGGGGTGAAATTTTCCTCTTGTTCATTAATTGTAGTATGGTATTAATGATGATGGTCTTATATAGCATCTAATTAATGGCTAAAATTTCTAAGTGAGCCAAATTGTACAACTAATCATATCTTTAATTAATTTGAGAGATAGTAGACACCAAACTTAATTATTGGATTGATGATCATGTGTTACATTGAACTCTTGATGTATTTATATTCCTATATTTTCGATTTAGTCTCTTGACTTCAAAAGGACAATATCGCTTGTAAAGTTCTATATCAAGTGCGCAATCCTATAAAGACTAGAGGAAAAAACCTCGGCTAACTTTATGCCTGCAGTCGGTGTAAAATTATTGGATTGATGATCATATTTGAACAAAGAAAGTCAATGCAAGCTTTCCAACCAAGGTGGAGAATCGTGTGTGTTTCATTGAACTCAACTCTTTATATATGCTCTCATTTTTGTGTGGTTCGATTAAATTTGTGACTCTTCGATCATAAAATATTTAAAAGAAATACAAAAAAAGTTATGAATAGTAGTGAAAACCCATTGAAATTTATGTTTGAGCCCTGCTTGGTAGAGATTAAAATCAAATTTTAACAGATTTTAATAAAAAATAATGAAATGTGTGATTAAAATTAATTATTAATTTTGACTTAAATTTTAATCAATTTTTTTAACGATATCAAACAAGGCTGAAATTTTATGTCCAAAGCATATAAATCTAATAATTGGGACATAAAAGTTCCAATGGCTTAAAGTCAAGTAGTGGATAATCTTCCTTTGAAATCTGGTTACATGTTAGCTTTTCTTTATCTTACAAGATTAACAATTTGAGGTAGTCAATGCTTGATTTTACTGAGTTATTATCTGACGCTGACATAACCTTTGTTGTAAAGAAAAATTTAAGAGCGCACTGGATTGCTAATACTTTTCATTAAAAAAATGTGCTTTTTCTTTCATTCAAATTCTTACTTTTGTGTCATTTAATTGACATTTTTTCTATAGAAAACATTTTCTACTTTTGATTGTGTAATCATATTTTTCTCAAAATCAAGAAAAATATTTATTCTATTTTCCATTGAATTCACTCTCTCCCCCTCTCATTTATCTACTCTCTCATCTACCCACCAATAAAAATCGGACAAGTATAATATTTTCTAGAGAAAATTTCAAAAATCAGGTGTCAAATATGACACAATTCAATTCTCAAGTCTCAAGTTCAAAAATGCAGAACTCAGGTATTTGCTAATTAATTAATTAAAAATATTTATTATTTAAATATAATAAGATTACAGTTGCACAATTAATGATCACAGATACACAATTATAGGTCACAGATGATTTTATTGATCACATATTATAAAATTAATTGGTCACATATTATGTCGAGGTCACAAATTAAAAGTTCTACAGGTTACAGATTGTTTCGTTGGTCACAGATAAAAAAAATTATAGGTCACAATTTATCCATCGGTCACATATTCACAAATTCGTTGGTCACAAATTATTTTTTAGTCAAATATTATCGAATTTTAAGGACACAGTGGAATAGTCACAAATTTATGGTCACAGTTTATCCCACCCTACCTCGTCGTAACACCACACACCACCACTCACAGGTCCGCCATCGCCACTTGCAACCACCCTCGCCTTGTGACCGTCTCCAAAACCACACCACCACCATTACCATCACCATCGTCTACCGTCACCACCATCATTGCCAGCATCTTGTTCCAACTTCCAACAACCACCACTACCATCAACAACCACCCACCTCACCCAACCAGATCTGCAGCGCCATGGAGAAATGCCGTCGGTGCACACTGCCAACACCAAGCCATCGTTGTCATGAACACCCACTCGCGCACACATACCCCACACCACGCACACACAACCGAACCAAGCCATTGCCGTCGCGATCTGCGACGCAACCATGACACCCACGCACACTCAACCATGACCGCAGCCTCACGCCATCGCCGTCGAGATCTGCGGCACAATCACGCATGCCATGCCAACGTTGCCATCACCTCTGATTCTAGCAACGGACTCTCATTTGCTAGCACCGTCACCATCAACCTCCGATTCCAACGACATCGACGACACTGCAATGAACTCTCAACAGCCTCTGATTCCAACAGCGTCGACCGAAGCAGCTTCGTCATCATTGAATTTTGCCTCAGATTTTACAGTGAGAGACGAGAGAGGAAGGACTGATTTTAGAGAGAAAATAATGGAGAGTTAAGGTTTGGGTGAAAGGAAAATTGATTTAGGGTTTATATTTATTGACACCTGATTTTTGAATAATGAAAGTTTGCACCTGAACATTGAATTGTATTCTTCAAATCCCTGCTTTTGTGTAATTTCCTCTATTTTCTAAGTCGAAAATTAAATCAATCAAACACATCTAATTGATAATTTTCATTCAAATAAGTTCTCAACGATTAAATTATCTACAATTTTTTTTGCATGCAAATTCTATGTTTGCAATCAAATGCACCATAACATCATTTTGATAAACTGATTTGAAAAGGATCAAGAAAGATACCCACAAACTAAATTTCTAATCTTGTTCAATTTTGTCTAGTCGAGCCCATAACGGTTGGACAAGAACTAATCGCCGCCCGCTCAAGTGCTGCATAGATTATTTCTCACCGGAGGAAGCCATGGCATTAGCATTGCCCCAGGGTCTATAAATTTTTGTAGCAGAATATATTTCCCTTTTAGTCCTCGTTTGGCCCCATTAAATTCCTTTATATTACATTCCATTTTTCTCTCATATTTTCAACCACATAATCTTCCATAAATTAATATTACACATAAATTGAAAACTTTTCCTTCTTTTTCAACCACTCATTTTTCAAAAAAAATATTATTTCACCCATTTTCATTTCTAGAAAATAGGGCCAAACGGGGGCTGTATGTCGCACCTATTCTATTTCACATTGTAGCTTTTTTTACGCGACATAAACTCATCAAATGACAAATAATGTCTTAACTCGAAACAAACTACCACATGGAGATTAATTAACGCAATAATCAAATTTTGCAGACAATTGCTGAAAAGAATAAGATACACACAATGTCTACCGGCTAAATAAAATTTAAGCTTCAATATTACATCCCCATGCCCCAAGTACAAATAAAACACCCTCTGCGGCCTGATAGTAATGAGAATGCCGTGCATATAAAAATGTTTCTCGTATTAACTTTAAAATGAAAAGAGAAAAAGGTCAAAACGAGTAGGAGTAGACAACCACTCATCCATCATTGGATGGCTCGACATGTGCTGAACCATAAGCTGCATCAGCTGAAGAGGTGTCCATGTCATTGAGTCCCATTTCCTCATTCTGCTCCCATGACCTCTCGTATTCCTCAACTGAGCATCATGCAGTATAATATCATCATCAGTAAATTATTTAAGAATGTCTACGGGAAATGGCAAAAGAAATCTCAATGGTAAACAGCATATTAGAAATTGGAGGAATTCCATAAGAAAAAGAACTTACATGTTAATTGATTATCATCTTTGATATCATCAGTTGCAGGGGAAATAAAGGAGTTCGACAGAGCATCATCAATTATTAATGTCCAAGGTTCTTCTAAGCTTCTGAGCTGTGGAAGATCAAAAACTTGCATGAAAGGAGGGAAACAAGTTCAAGTGATTGAGTACGACTTGTATCTTTAACACAATAGTAGGGTGTCCAAATAATTTAATGGATAATGACACAACTAACAGGGAAGCCAGCAGTAAAGTTCTGTGCATCAGTTTTTTAGTGCATTAGCTAAAGCCATATAAAAATTAACCACCAAAAAATAATATGGCAGAGTAATGATCTGCAGGCTTGGATTGGCAAGGGTAAAAGGTAGGAAACCAATTAGGCGTGCTGATACATATGATTGTAAAACATGGGGATGCATTGGCTTCAATTGCATGGTTGTGGTGCAAAACGAGATTATACAGTGCACGAACCTTGTCAATCCTTACTCTAAACTCCTTCCACTTGCTCTTTCTGGTATCGTCAAGACTATCACCAAAAGTAAACCCATGCACTCGCTCAAGACCTGCAATATAAACGTCAAAAATATGATTTGAGATTGTTGATGCATAAATTAGTAGAAAAAATGGAATGTATTATAAAATTCACATACAAAGACCACTAATGTGCATGTATTTGCAGCGGATATATAATCTCTCTCTCTCTCTCAAACTCTTCCCCCCCTCCCCCTCTCCCTTCCCCCCAACAGAAGAGTTTGGAGGCCAGCAAGGAACGCCTGCACTGTTGTGCCTCTTACTGAACTCCATACTGTACCATGTTTCACCACTCAGCTTTTACCCTCCACTCATATAGTTCAAAAACCTCACTTGTATAGTTACGACCTAATGAGAGAGAAATTAATGA